CAGTGCAGTGGTCGTCGTGGTGTTTATTGTTGACTGTTAGTGTCAGATATTAACAGCCGCCATGTATTGGTGACAGAACCAGCCCTGTGCAAAAGCACCTGTCACACGTTGTCCCATTTAATCCTCACCAGAACTCTCCCCAAGCGATGTGGTTTCCTGATGGTCAGGAGCCTGAGGCTTGGAGAAATTAGGTGACCTGCCCAGGTTCACATGGGGTCAGGGGCTGAATTTGAATCTGCGTCCACCTGATCATAAAGCCAGGGGTCATAGCTAGCCTTTACCTGGATGGATTGTTATTTAAAAAAAAATAACAAAGCAACCCCCCCCCCCAACAAAACAAAGTAGGAGATAATGCTGGGGTGGGAAGGAATGGTTTGGGACCATTTGTGTACTTAACCCTTTGCACTCGCTTGCTTTTTTCTCGATTCCTTTATTCTACTCGGCATTTAATTTTTTTAATACCCCAGATTTTACAAAGCGTGGCAGTAGAATAAAAAACTGGAGTTTCTTTTCATACAAACTTATTTATTTGGATTTTTTTGTATTTCAAATTATTGATACATTCAAAGAGTAATTTTAATCTCTATAATTTTTGCTAACCATGTGGAGTCACACTCGACATCCGAGTGCAAAGGGTTAATAATACCTGAGTACCTGCTGGGTGAGGAGGGTCAGAGTCAAAGGCAAGTACAACATGGTCCTGGCACTGAGATCCTTGCATGGTCCTTGAAGTACAGAGGTGGTGATGGACGAGTAAGAAAATCATTGCAAAGGCGGGAGGCTGATGGTTTGAGCAGTGATGAGGAAGGCCTCTTAAAGGAGGTGTCTGACTTGGGTTTTGAAGGATGAGTAGGAGTTTGTTAGGGCAGAAAGACATTACACAGAGAGGATCTAGCAAGAAGTAACTGAAGGAACCATTCATTTATTTGAGCATCAGCTGGGAAATGCCTTGAATGCAGGGACCTTAGCTTTCCTGAATCTCCAGTGCCTGGAACAGCATCTCACTTGTGCTTGGTACATACTCCTTTGAGTAAATGCCTGAGTTGGCAAATTGGGGAAGAGGGTAGATAAATTGTAGGAGAAGCAGATGGGGCTTGAATGTGGGAAGCCTCCTGGGTTACACCAAGGATTGATTCTTAAAAGTGATTGGAGGTTGTTACCCAGCAGAAAGAGGGTGATCGGTCCCATTTGTTGATGCAGCTCTCTAAGTCTGTGTGTTTTCCTCTGAGCAGGAAAACCTGATTGCTTTTAAACACATACAGAGGCTGGGCGTGGTGACTCATACCTGTAATCCTAGCACTCTGGGAGGCCAGGGTGGGAGGACTGCTTTAGCTCAGGAGTTCGAGACCAGCCTGAGCATGAGTGAGACCATCTCTACAAAACATAGAAAAATTAGCCAGGTATGGTGGTGTGTCCCTGTAGTCCCAGCTACTCAAGATGCTGAGGCAGGAGGACCACTTGAGCCCAGGAGTTCAAGGCTGCCGTGAGCTAGGTGATGCCATTGCACTCTAGCCTGGGGGACAGAGAGAAACCCTGTCTCAAAAACAATAAAACACATAGGAAAAGATACTCAGTTTCACTCATCATAAAGAGAAAGGGAAATTAAACTGCAGGGAGATATTTTCCGAGTTCAGAAGCTTATAATATACTGGTAATTGCCCTCATACCTTATTAGGTGGAGTATAAATTTACATTACCTGTTTGGAGGGCAGTGTCTGTCTAAATGTTGTATGCAACCTTTGACCTAGCAGGTTCACTTTTAGAAAGTTATCCTACAAATATACTGGCTTGTTTGTGAAATGAGGCTCCTACCAGCCTATTTGTTCAGTGTTGCATTGGTTGTAAGAGCAACCCAAATGCCAAGTCACCAGGAGACTGAATAAAGTCAAGTTCATCCGTACAATGGACCACAAAGAATGAGCAAACTGTTGATGTATACAGTGGGATGATCTTTAAGATTTATTATTAAGAGCAAAAAGCAAGGTACAGAACATTATGTGATGTTTGTTTCCATTTGATAACCAAAAATATATATTTATTTTTGTCGTGTATGCATGAAATATTTTCTGGAAAGAATACACAAAAAACTGAAGATGGTTGCCTGTAGAGAGAGGGACTGGGGAAGAGGGTTTAGGGAATGGATGGACAGAAGGCTTGTTCCTTCTATCCCTTTGTTCAGAAGAAATAAAATGTTAAGAATAAAGCAGATCCATGCTACTGATAAAGATCAGTTTCCAATACTAAGTAAAAATAAGCAAGGTACAGAACAGTATGTGTTGTGGTGCCTTTTGGGGAAACGCAGTAGACAGGCTGCATTTGGAATCTGTCTGGAGGAACACACAAGATGTTAGTGGGGTCGTTTGCCTGTGGGGTGGGGTAGGGGACTCCCAATTCAGGGAGTTCGCTGTGTACCATTTTGTGTGGTTCGAAAAAGTAGCACACAAATGTTGTTGCCTATGAAAAATAAATAGAACGACGTGGATGGATGCATGGGTGGGTAGGTGGGCGAGTTGGTGGGCAGTGGATGGGTTCATGGTTGGGTAGTTACATACATCCGTGGATGCACGTATGGACGTGCGGACGGATAGATACTCTCTGGCTGTTGTGGAAGGACCGAGTAGGACCAGGAGAGGCTGGAGGCAGGGAAGGGTGAGGAGGCTATTGCAGTAGTCCAGGCAAGGAACAACTGGGACTCGGATCAGGTCACTTGAACGTCTCACGTATGCAACCGTGTTTCTTGCATATTTCTCTGCATCTGTGAAGCCCCAGCATTGTTTTCTTTCTAGAAGGTCACATTCCTTTGGAATGAACTTTTTCTGGCAACTGCTCAGAAACTGTTCTGTATTTAATTACCCCCAACAGTTTAATCCTTGTTCCCAGCCATCACCTTAAGAATTACAAGCAACGTGAAACCACTTAAAATAATCGGTCTTTGAGATGTCACTCCTTCTCCACGATCAAATTCTTGTTTACAACGCTGTCATCCAAGTGCCCGAGTCCACAAAGGCACGGACTTGGTCCTTTGTGTCTTGAGGTTTCATAGGTAAATCTCCTTGTGCGTGTTGGCCTCGTAAAGTTAACTTTTTAGTGATTCCTTGTTCTTGGTTCTGGAAGAGCAGCCATTTGTATCATGGAACAGTTGTGCCTCTGCAGAACCAGTGTAGACTCTTTTTTGTTTGTTTTTTGACGTCAAACTCCTTTATTTAAAAAAAAATTTTTTAACCATCGTAACTGTTTCTAAATATATAATTCAGTAGTGGTAAGTATATTCACATTGTTGAGAATAACTAGAGCTCTTTACTTCCTGGAACACATATATCTTGATCACATTGTCAGATGTTTTCTTTAAGTGTGAAATGATCTCATTTCTCTCACTTTCTCTTTTTTTGTAATGTTTTTTGACCGTGGCTTTGAAACTTGTATGGAGCTGTGCGGTGCCGGGTTGCCCAGAATTCCTTGGTGGTCTCACTCAGGTGGTTGCGGGAAGACACATAGTGCGGTGGGAGGGGAGGGTGGGGGCTGCAGCCGGCTGGAGCACGCGGACCTGCTCCAAGACTGGCCACTCCCAGCTCCTGCCCATGGCCAGCCGTGAAGCAGGGATATGGGCCCAGTGCTGCCAGATTTTCTGATTTTTAAAGAGAAAGCCAGAAATCTAAGTTTTTTATATGAAATGATCTGATTTTAAATGTTGGCATCTAATGTAAAAAAAAAAAAAATTAAAAAGCATGCGTAGGCTGGGTGTGGTGGTTCATGCCTGTAACCCCAGCACTTTAGGAGGCTGGAGTAGGAGGATCGTTTGAGGCCAGGAATTTGAGCCCAGCCTGGGCAATGTAGCAACACCCTGTTTCTACAAAAACATAAAAAATTAGCCAGGTGTGGTGGCACACACCTATAGTCCTACACACCTGTAGTCCTCAGCCACTCGAGTGTCTGAGGCAGGAGGATGGCTTGAGCCCAGGAGTTCAAGGCTGCAGTGAGCTGTGATGGCACCATTGCACTCCAGCCTGGGCAACAGAGCAAGACCCTGTCTCAGAACAAACCAAGCAACCCAACAAAAAAGCATGGTTAAAATAATAACAATAACAGTAAACCCTCTGTGGGCCACATTGGCCTAGTTTGGGTACCTGTTTCACACCGCTTATTTGATCCAACCTAATCATGGTAGGGGTGGGAAATTGAGACCCCACAAGAAAGGGCAGTAACTTTCCCCGAAGTTGTGTAACTATTATAGTCAATTGTCAGACCAAGATTTGAGTCAAGTTGAAATCCTCTGTTACAAAACCCTTAACAGCTGGTTGAGGTTTATTCTTGGGCAGATACACCTGATCTGTTTATGTGTATATCTATTTACCTATTTGGCATGTCTCTTCAACAAAATCCAGGTTTTTTTTTTTTTTTTTTAGTAACTGAAACAAATTTGTTTCTGAGGCCGGGTAGTTCAGTGGTAAAATTCAGCTCCAGATCCTACCAGCTGTGTGATCCTAGGCATTTCACTCAACTTCTCTGGGCCTCAGTTTTCACGTCTGAGAAAGGACGTGACGAAGTACCTAGCTCAGAGAATTAAGGGAGGTAATACTTTTAAAGCACCTAGAATAAGGCCTGGCACACAGAATTACAACTAGAATGTCACCCCTCGTGGTGGTGGAAGAGGAGGAGGAGGTTGGAAAGTCCTGAGTTCACAAGCTAGTAAGTAGGAGCGATCCACGTGGCTAAAGGTTTCTTCGGTTTACAAGCAGTTATCCTTTGGGCTCCTTTAAATGCTGCCTCTGTCTTTTGTGCAACTTGTCTGTTGGGTGAGATGCAATGTACCTTCGTTCCTCGGTACTCCTTTCTTCGTCTTTCTGACGGCGGATCGTTTGCGTTTGCGTGTTCACCCCAGCAGGGATGTAGGGCTGCGGGGGTCTTCTGTTTTTGAGCCCCGCAGCAGCTGGTTTGAACTCTGCACAAGTCCTGTCCTTTCCGGCTGTCCCGCTGACCCCCCACCTGTGTTTTGTTGGCAGGACTGGAACCTCACGTGGTACACCAGCAACCCCGACTTCACCAAGTGCTTTCAGAACACCGTGCTCGTGTGGGTGCCTTGCTGTTACCTCTGGGCTTGCTTCCCCTTCTACTTCCTCTATCTCTCCCATCATGACCGGGGCTACATCCAGATGACACATCTCAATAAAGCCAAAACTGTGAGTCACTGGGATTTCCTCATGGGCTGGCAGGTGCACGGGGGGCGGGGGCGGGGGTGGTGGTGGTGGTGGCAGTGGCCGCTGGAAACTGATATTTTTCTTCTGCTTCATCAGCCCTAAGTTCCTTTTTCTAGAAGGCAAGAGGGTAACGTGGGAGATGAAAGCTAGAGCTCTGGAGTCAAACATGGGTTCAAATCTCAGCTTTGCCATGTGGTGTTTGGCCTTGGGCAAATTTTTTTAACCTCCTCGAGACTCAGTTTCCCCATTTATGCAATGGAAATGATAAGATCCTTCTCAGGGGATTATCGGGAGATTGTCAGGGGGTCTTCCTGCCATACTGAGGCTATCTCCTTTTTATCGATTGAGTTTTTTTTTTTTTTAACTTTAAAAGAGTTTGTTTTGAAATAATTGGAAACCACAGAAAAACTGCAAAAATGAAACCAAGAACTGCCTTCTGACCCTGTCGACCCATGACTCCTATTTCCTGATTTTTACCATTTTACCACATTTTTCTCATGCACTTTTACTCTTTGCATATACGTATGTATATTCCTGTTTATTTTTTCTGAGTCATTTGAGAATGGGTAGCACCCCCCACACCCCTCTGCCCCTTAATTTTTCAGTGTGTCTTTCCTCAAAACAGGGATATTCTGTTTCGTGAGCACAGTACAGGTGTGAAACGCAGAAAATTTCACACGGGCCTGATATGTCTTTAAAAACCTGCAGTCTGTATTCCGGTTTTGTCTGTCGTCCCAAGACTGCGCTTTCTAGCACCTTCCCCCGCTAGCTCGGGGTCCCATCCACGGCCACGTACGGCACGCAGTCCTGTTGTCCCTCTAGTTTTCCTCCTTCTGGAAGAACCCTTCACCTTCCTTTGTCTTCTGTGGCAATGACCTGTATGAAGAACGTGGCCGTTATTTTATAGCACGTCCTCGGTTCGGGTTTGAGCGGCGTCTCCCGCCGAGTCACGGGTTAGGGTCATGCGTATCTGGTGGGAAAACTACAAAGGGACGTGTGTCCTTCACAGGCTTTGCCAGCTAGAGCTGCATCTGCCCTCGCTGGCCGGTTTGGTTTTGATCATTCGATCAAAGTGCTGCCTGGGGTCCCCATACACAGGCCCTGCTTTTCCCCCTCGGAGCTGATCAGCGATCCGAGAGGGGACGCAAAGAGCGTGGAAATGTCACGCCCCTTGCCCCTCTTTCTTCCAGACTTAGCATCTGTCTCGGTTCTTTTCGAAGCCACTTTTTTCAGCTCTTTACTCGGACGTCACCTGATCCGAGGGGCCTTCCCCAACCAGGGCCTTCCCCACCTGCTTTAGTTCTCCCTGTGACCCTTATTCCTCTCTGACATGTGTTATGTATTTTTCAGTTTGTTTCTTGCTGGTTTCCTTCCACGTGCGCTGTTAGCTCCATGAGGACAGGGACTTAGCTCTGTTTTGTTCACTGTTGTCTCCCTGGCACCTTGGAAAGTGTGCGCTGCATGGCAGGCCCTTGAGAAGTGCTGCTTGGCTGAGTGTCGCTGAATGAACAGTCACGGTGGGAGGGGCTGAATGTCGTTGAATGAACGGTCACGGTGAGAGGGGCTGAATGTCGCAGAATGAACGGTCACGGTACGAGGCGCTCTCAGGCAGCGCGCTGGGGTCTCGGGTTCCGATCAGCTGCGGGCTGAGCTCCTGAGTTCTCGGGTGCTGCGGAGAACAGTGACCAGGCAGCGTCCTGTCGGAGGGAGCGGGGTGTTCCAGACCAGCGGGGGACAGCCCAGCTGGCGGCTAGCCCTAACGAGGACTCGTCCACATTCCAGACGATATATGTTGTGTCCAAGGACCATGGTTGTGGGGTTGGCTGGTCCCCCCAAGGCCGAGCTTTTCTGGAGGTGCTGGGGGAAGTTCTGGTACTGTCTCCTGTACAACGTGCACGTGCTTCTCTTCCAGGCCTTGGGATTTTTGCTGTGGATCGTCTGCTGGGCAGACCTCTTCTACTCTTTCTGGGAAAGAAGTCGGGGCATATTCCTGGCCCCAGTGTTTCTGGTCAGCCCAACCCTTTTGGGCATCACCATGGTAAGTAGAAGCTGGCTGCGAATCCTCAGCCATCTGCCAATCACAGTGCAGACCAAACACAGTAGCCAGCGTTTAGACATATGAAACCTCACAGTTAAAAAAAAATCAGAAATCTGGCTTCTTTTGAAAAACTCAAAGATCAGGCAGCGCTGGACTCATAGTGTTTTAGGGTAGCAGCTAGCTGGAGCTGGGATGCAGCTGCAGCCTCTGCATGGGGCAGGCGTTGTCCAGTTTGCCACAGTCCCCATCATGCCCTCTTGCCTTCCCTGCCACTGAGGCTGAATGGCTGATGTCACCTTTTCTTCTTGTACTGGCCATCTCGGTCATTTACACAAACTGCCTGGGGCCTAATGGCCTCTCAAGTTTTCCGGCTGCGGTGTAGGAGGTGGGATACCAAACTGAATAGGAAACTGCCCGAGCCGTGGGGGTCTGAAACTTAATGGACGATACAGACAGGGAAAGTACTTTGTTAATTATAGCTGACATGTATCGAGTACTTCCTATGTGCCTGGCAGTGGTCCTGGTGTTTTACATGTCTTAAAATTCATCTAATTCGGCCGGGCGCTGTGGCTCACGCCTGTAATCCTAGCTCTCTGGGAGGCCGAGGCGGGCGGATTGCTCAAGGTCAGGAGTTCAAAACCAGCCTGAGCAAGAGCGAGACCCTGTCTCTACTATAAATAGAAAGAAATTAATTGGCCAACTGATATATATATATAAAATTAGCCGGGCATGGTGGCGCATGCCTGTAGTCCCAGCTACTCGGGAGGCTGAGGCAGAAGGATCGCTCGAGCCCAGGAGTTTGAGGTTGCTGTGAGCTAGGCTGACGCCACGGCACTCACTCTAGCCTGGACAACAAAGCGAGACTCTGTCTCAAAAAAAAAAAAAAAAATTCATCTAATTCTCAGAACACCCCTGTGAGATGGGTACTGTTCTGTCCCCACAGGCCCAGAGAGGTTAAGTACCCTGCTCATGGTCACACAGTTAATACGTGGCCAAGTGACGGGCCATGCTTTTAGCCCCTGCATCACGCAGCTTCTGAGCTGTGACCACAGAGTTCTTGGCAAGCCCTTGAGTGTCGTGGGATGAGGAGGGAGCAAGTAGGAGGCAGGACGTTCTGAGCAGGGGGACAGCTCATCCAGGAAAGGGCTGGAAGGTCAGAAGGAGCAGGACGAGCTGTTCTGTGAAGCAGGAGCACAGAGTTCAGGTTCAAGGATGGAAGTCGAACGTGATGGGGTCAGGAAAGGCAAGGTGGAGCCAGGAAGTGAAGGACTGTGACTTTGTTTTCTTTTTAAGACAGTCTTGCTCTGTCACCCAGGGTGGAATGCAGTGGTGTGATCGTAGCTCACTGCAGCCTCCAAACTCCTGGGCTCAGTGATCCTCCTGCCTCAGCCTCCCGAGTAGCTGGGACTATAAGGATGTGCCACTGTGCCTGGCTCATTTGTAAATTTTTTTTGCAGAGACAGGGTCTTGCTGTGTTGCCTAGGCTGGTCTCACATTCCTGAGGCCTGTGACTCTGTATGGCCACACATAAGGTGTTGCCTCTCTGCCGGACACTTAATCCTAATCCTTTTATTTATTAACTCATTTATGCAGTTTGCTGGAGATCCCCCTGTTATAAATAAGCAAATGGAAGTACCCAGAGGTGAGGGAACTGGCCCCAGGCCGCACAGCCAGTAGAAGGTAGAACCAGATTCCAGCCCAGGCTCCAAGGCATGGCTCCGGCATCTGCTGTGCTGTCTGTTTGTGACGGCTCTTTGCTTGATACCTGGCTCTCCTGCAGGCTCTTGCTCCCCGTATGTCCTTAGAGCCTGGCACCATGCCCGGCATGCAGTAAGCACTCCATAAATGTGTCGAGGGGATGGGTCAATAGGGGCTCTGCTTCTGGAAGGGGAGACTCTCTTTTTTTGACTGGAGGGGCTCATGGTCACTTAACCCTCCCTGTTCTTGGTCTTTCGATGTTCACACTGGGGACGCCGGAGCGACGGGCTGAGGCTCAGTGGGTTTTTGGGCCCTAGGGTGGGTGCCTCGAGGGGAGCTGGCCTCTGGGATCCTCGTCCTCCCTCCCCACTTGAGGGCTCCGTGGTGGAACGGTGGACCAGCCGTGCTGCTGATGGGGTGGGAACATTGTCCTTATATTTGGGGGACCAGAATGTGCCGGCACTGGACGTACAAGACGGGAGACAGTCAGCAAATGTGTTTCATTCCTACTGTGTGCCGCGAGTTGGAGATAAAAGCGTACATTCATGCTGTGCAAACACATGAAACAAATGATTCCTTAGAAAGGCACAGAATGTTCCAACACGTACAAAGTGCTACAGAGGGTGCAATTAGGGGAACTCGGTTTGTTCTAGGGGGCAGGGGGCCTTCTCTGAAAGAATGACAATGGAGTTGAGGCCTGAAGGATGAGCCAGGTTGTTAAAAAGTTGAAAGGGCTGAGGGCAGAGGTTCTCCCAGTTGGGGAGAAGAGCATGTGCAAAAGTCCTGGGGCCACCAGGAGAACTTGAGAGCTGGCTTCCAGACTGGGGTGGAGCCGGTTGAAGCAGAGAGCCAGGGAGATGGGGCGGGCAGGGCGGGCAGGGGCTGTCCCTGTGGAGCCTTGAGTGTCAGGGCAAGTGGGTGTTGTTTTTTTCACGCTGGGTCCTCTGCATGTTTTTATAATAATAAAGTTTTATTGGCACGCAGAGCTGAGTAGTTGCAGCCTAGACTCTGTGGCCCATGAAGCGTAAGCTATTTATTACGTGGTCCTTTAAGAAAAAGCGCGCTGATCTCTGCTCTAACGGAGCTTCCTCCCACACCTCACCTTTCCCGTCCTGATCTACACGTGGTCTCATTAGATTCCCACGAGTCACCAGGCCGATGCTGTCAGCATCTCCGTTTTGCAGATGGGCTCTGGCGAGGCAGGGGCAGAGCTGGACCGGGAGCCAGGTCCCCTTTAGGCAGTTCCTGCACCCCGAGCCGGGGGCAGCCCTTCCCCCAGGCCCAGCATCCACCAGGTCCCTGGGACCGAGGAGCCTTGGGTCCTGCCTTCTCTTAACTCCTATCACGTGGCTTTCTCTTCCAGCTGCTCGCTACCTTTTTAATTCAGCTCGAGAGAAGGAAGGGCGTCCAGTCCTCAGGGGTCATGCTCACCTTCTGGCTCGTAGCCCTGGTGTGTGCCCTTGCCATCTTGAGATCCAAAATCATGAATGCCTTAAAAGAGGTAAGTGGTGCCTTGCTCTGCATTGTCCTTCAGCAGCCCTTGGGAGGAGATGCTTGCTCCATTTGGTGTGCATAGACGCCGTGTACCGGATCAACACCAGCCTTTGTTCTAGAACCTTCTTTCCCCAGGGCCCCCTTTATCTGTGTAGCTCTGAGGGGCCTATGTGGTACCTGCAAGGGCAGGAGCCGTGGGCAAGTGCCAGCTGCCTGTGAGCCCTGTCAGCAGTAAAGAGCAGGGTGTGCGGCTCTAAATGCCTGCAGTTTGGGACCGAGCCATGTCTGTGGAGTGACTGTTTCCCTAGGGGACCCTAGACTTGTCCCCACGTTACCTTTGAGGCATCAGCCCTGCGCTGGCCAGGGAAGTTGTTTACCGTGGCAGCCGTGTGTGGCTGTCAGGAGTTTTGAGGAGTGTGCACTTTTAAATCCAACCTGCTGCTCCTGCCATCCGGAGCTAATTGGGGCCTGGCAGGAGGCAAAGGAAACATTTATTGAACACCCACAGCGTACGGCACGGACCGTCTTTATGGGCGAGGGCACTGACACCGATTGAGTTTGTGTTTCTGAAGTGCCTCGCGGGGCACGAAGCGTGTTTCCCGGGCAGTCTTAGGGCTCACAGTGACTCGGGTGGGATTTCTCGAACTCAGCACTCGTGGACATTCTGATCCGGGACTTCTCGGTTGTGGGGCTGGTGTGGGGTGGGTGTCCTGTGCTGTGTAGGCTGTTTAGGAGCATCCCCGGACTGTCCCCACCGGGTGCCAGTAACCCTCCCAAGTATGGCAAACAGTGTCCCCAGACACTGCCTGATGTTTCCTTGGAGGGAAAATCACCCCCAGTTAAGAACCACAAGTCTGTTTATAGGTGGGGAAACTGAGGTACAGAGAGGTGAAGAAAGGTGACAAGGTCCCACAGCCAGTGGGAGCAAGCCGGGCCCGGGACGCAGCTCTGTTCCTCTCCCCAGCTGAGGCTGACCCCTCCCAGGCAGTGGTGAGCGGTGTGACCGCCAGATGCAGCCGCCTCTCTGCTGTCCCCTCCAGTCCCCCGGGAGCTGGGGGCAGAAGGCGATCCCGTCTCCTCCTCCCTCCCTCACGTGCAGGACGCCCGGATCGACGCGTTCCGCGACGCCACGTTCTACGTCTACGCCGCCCTCGTGCTCGTGCAGCTCGTGCTGTCGTGTTTCTCAGACCGCGCGCCCCTGTTCTCCGAGACCATCAACGACCCCGTAAGTGTGACGCGGACGTGCGCGCGCGTGTGCGTCCGTGAGGGAGACACGCCGCACGGCGGCAGCTGGCGTTACTGGCTCCACCAGGAGCTCGCTCGGTCCTCCTTCCATGCCAGGCGCAGAGGTCATGTGCTCCCCACTTTCCAGGCGGGAAACTGGGCCTTTGACGTGACTTGGGGTCCTCTGGGGGCTGAAGGAGAGAACCCGCTGCGTCTCGCGGGCCTGTAGGTTTTCTCGCTTGGCATGGTGGTTTTGGAAAATGCGAGCAGATTATTTAAAAATCAGGGAATTTCACATACATTGCAGCTGTCTGAGTCTTCTAGAAAAGTGAAATGTCCGGGCAGAGCAGGGCCATGTTGGCCGGAGCTCTGAGCATTCAGAAAGCACAGAGAAAGGGCCGGCCCTGGAGGCTGGGCTTTGGGGGGCTGGGGCACCCCACTCTGCTCCCCACTCGTCGTCCCTGTCCGTCTCATCTCCTCCCTGCTCCCCTTGTCACTCTTGGTCTTCCAGGGCGGTGGAGGCCACTGTTCGGTCTTGTGCCCTGCGATCCGGCAGGTGCAGAGGCGGGCGTGTGGGCTGGTGCGTTTGTGACGTTTATGCACGGGCCGGGAAGGAAGGCGTCCGTCGGCCAGCACTCTGTCCAGCCAGCCTGCTGTTCCCTTGGCTTCCTGTTTGGTAATCCAGTGGGGTGCCATTTGGAGTCTAGAGCAGGGTTTGGCCAACAGCAGCCCACGGGCCAAGTCTGGCCCACTGCCTGTTTCTGTGAATAAAGTTTTATTGGGACATGGCCACACCCACTCATTACAGAGGGTCTGTGGCTGCCCTGTGCCCAGCAGTGGAGCGGAATGGTTACTACAGAGACTGTCACCCACAAAGCCTAAATATTTACTATCTGGCTCTTCCCAGAAAAAGTTTCCTATCCCTGGTCTAGAGCATTCCTTTAGCTCTGATGACTTTTTACCTTCCTTCTTTGTCTCCCTGCCATTTTCAGGCACTGTTTCATCCTGGGAAAGGAAAGGAAAGGGAATGGCCATTTATGAGATGCCTGCTGTATACTGACGTCGTGCTAAGCTCCTCATACCTTATGTAACCCTCACCCCAGCCCTGGTGAACTTGGTACTGTTATTGTTTTTCCCGTTTTACAGATAAAGACACTGAGTCTCAGAGAAAAGTGTTTTGCCCAATGTGAGTGGTGGAGTAGGAATTTGAACCCAGGATGGACAGTTCTGCAGAATCATGTCACTTCTCTTGGTTACAGCCCACTCAAGGGAAGGGTCTTGGCTAAATAACAGCTTTGCGTTGGGCTATAAGCTCCGTAAGGCTGGATCTAGACCCGCAACCTCGGTGCCTAAGACAGAGCCTGGCACACGCTGGGCCTTTAGTGGTGACTTGTTGTCGTGTGGTGTGGGGAGGCACCCGGTCCATGTGGCACGTGTCTTGTGTAACGTGAGGTCTGCACCAGGCCTCACGGGACATCAGGCTAAGCTCCCGTTCTGCCTGCACGCACTCCTAATAGGAAGGAAGGAAGAGGAGAGGAACTAACATATAAGGAGACCTGCTGAAGGCCTGGCATGGTCCTCTATTAAACAAAATTTTGCATTTGTTTATTTTGGTGGAATACACATAATGCAAAATTTGCCATCTTAACCATTTTAAATGTACCATTCGGCAGTGCTAAGAGCTTTTTAATCTCATTCAAACCCCTGCTGCTTAAAATGGGGACCACGGCCAGCTGCATCGATGTTGCCTGGGCATGCGTTAGACATGCAGGATCCCAGGCCCTGCCCCAGACCAAAACCTGCACCTTCACAGCATCCCCAGGTAATCTGTGTGCATAGAAAAGTTTGTGAAGCATTGGTTTAAACTTCACAATAGCTTTGAGAAGGGAGGGGTTTTTTGTTTGCCTTTTTTTTTTTTTTTTTAATGGATAAGGGAATTATGCCTCACAGAGGTTGAGCTGTTAGACCTTAACTTATGCCTAAGTTTGGTGGTGGAGGCAGCATGGTGTGATGGAAGAGGAGCCTCAATGTAGAGTTGGACAAACCCTGGGGTTTAATCCCACCTAGGTACTTTTATCCCTTCAGCAGACATTTATTAAGCATCTGTTGTATACCATGCTTGGTGTTGGGGATACACTGCAGTGTACAAAATAGATATGGTTTGAACTATAGGGGAGAAAACAGTTTCCTCCACACTCTTAGGTTCAATGGCTGGGGCCTGCAAATCAAACCACTAAAATATTAACAGGAGAGAATATTTATTATGTGTGCACATGGGGAGGCGCCTCACAGAAAAGAAATGAAAATCCTAAGAAAGTAATTAGGCCTGAGAGCTTCTATGCTGTTTTAACATAGGGTGATAAATTTGTGGTAAAGTGGCAAGACAAAGAAAAAGGAGTTTGGGCTTCTAGAGGTGGTAAATTGTGGGAGGGTAAATATATGCGGGAGACTAGTAGAAGATGAGGGTTATTTTAGTAAGGTTTGTTTTTGTAGATCCATGTCAGTGTTGCCAGTGATAATGGTTGTTCTCCTGGTATGGGAGAAGGGAAGGGGAAGATTTATAGGAAGGGAAATGTATGGCCTGCTTTTAGGCAGATAGGGGAAGGCCAAAAGAGGTCTTTTTGTGTTTGCTCTTGCTTAATTGCCTTTAGTTCCAAACAGTCCTTATAACAAAGTGGGGTATTTCGGGGTGGCATAATTCTAACCTTAAGAATATGCTCCGGTTATCTGTTACTCCATAACAAACCAAACAAATTCATCATTAATTGATGAATTAAATTGCATCAAACAATAATAGTACAACGTTTCAGAGTCCTGGGTGTTGACTAGGCTCAGCGGGGCGGTTCACAGTGTCTCCTGTGGTCGTGGTCAGACGTGGCTGGGACTCAAGTCAATGCAAGGGTTTCCGCAGTCTCTCATCTAGTGGTCAAGGCTGGCCATGGGCTGGAACCTCCCCTGGAGTTGACACCTACGTCTGATCTCTCTGTGTGGCCTTGATGTCCTCACAGCATGGTGGCTGGTCTCTAAGAGTGAGTGTTCCAAGAGAGAGAGCTGGTGGAAGCTGTATCACCTTTAAGGATGTAGCCCCAGAAGTCACGTGGTGTCACTCCTGCCATGCTCTGTTGGTCGAGGCAGTCACAGAGGTCTGCCCAGGTGCAAAGGGAAGGGATGCAGACCCCGATTCTAGGTGGGTCAGTGGGCACATCTCATTGTAAGAAGAGTGTGTGGGGTGGCAGATGGTGTTCTGGGCGTCATGGGAAAGTACAGTCTGCCACGTGCCGTCAGGAAGCTTGCTGGGACACAGCCCTGAAGCAGCCAGCAGACACATAACCACGTGACTACGTAACTGCAGTTGAGGTGAAAGGTACGACTCAGGTTATATGAGAATCAGCTACATTTGTGACTTTGGGCACATCACTCTTCCTTTAGGGATCTCAGTGTCTCCTTCTTGAAAATGGGTTGTTGCTCAATTTGATGCTGGCTGCACCCCCTCGCCCGCCCCAGATCTGAGCCCTGTGACCTGGGGAGGAGGACACTGTGACATGCTCTTTGCTTGTCTTCCTGTCACCCTGAGTGCTGGCGACACAGTGGAGCCGGCACGCTGGGGAGCGTCCAGCCCTCCTGCCCTCCGAGCAGCAGTGGGTGATCCATCACATGTTGCCAGCCCTTGGGGTGATCAGCCACAGCCCGGCTCCTCCGGGCCGCCTGTGCTGAGTCACTGTGTCGGCCGCACTCCCCAGCTGGCCCTGCGCCCGCTGCGTGACTCAGATGTCTATTCCGGCCCTGGCTTCTCGGCGGGGCTCCTCCCATCTCCGCTGCCTGCTGTGGGGCTGACTAGGCTTCTGGGAGCCAGGGCAGGGCTGACCGAGCCTCTGACCCTCTGGCCTTACTGCCACCGAGGCTGCTGCTGGGCAGTGGCAGGGAGGAGGGTCGTGTAGATAGGGGGATGGCAGCCACCGCAGATGGTTTGGTGGATAATCCCCGCTCACAGCGGGGTCCGTGGTCTGGTGTCCCCAGGAGCTCAGGCCCCACCCCAGACCCACTGAGCCAGGATCCCCCTTTCACAAGACCCCTGGTTGGAAAACACTGGTTTAGGACATGCAGTAAAAGCTGCTCTGCTCACTTGAAGCAAGAGATATTTTTAGTCCTGTCCATACGACATGGAATATTTTACCTCCAACATTTTACCATGAACATTTTCAAGCTTGTAGAAAACGTGAAAGAGTTACACAGCGAGCAGCCACATACCCAGCACCCGGAGCCGCGGGTAACATCTTGCCGGCCTTGCTTTATCACACTCCTGTCTGTCCAGCCGGCCGCTCAGCCCGCCAGCCAGCTGGTGTTTTTGGTGGCTGAAACTTGCTTTGAAACACGTGAATACCCTTTACCCAGACACTTTTCATGCAGACCATTAGCTAGAGTTTGATATCTGCTTACAGTTCTGGGTTTTTTTTTTTTTTTTTGTTGTCCAGGCTAGAGTGAGTGCCATGGCGTCAGCCTAGCTCACAGCAACCTCAAACTCCTGGGCTCGAGCGATCCTTCTGCCTCAGCCTCCCGAGTAGCTGGGACTACAGGCATGCGCCACCATGCCCGGCTAATTTTTTATATATATATCAGTTGGCCAATTAATTTCTTTCTATTTATAGTAGAGACAGGGTCTCGCTCTTGCTCAGGCTGGTTTTGAACTCCTGACCTTGAGCAATCCGCCCGCCTCGGCCTCCCAAGAGCTAGGATTACAGGCGTGAGCCACCGTGCCCGGCCTACAGTTCTGGGTTTTTTCCTTAAAATTTACATGCAGGGAAATTTCTCATCTCGTTAGCATTTGATGAATTTTGATAAATGAATAACTCTTAAACCCCCATCAAGATACGAATATTACAAGGTCTCCAGAAAGTTCTCTCGGGCCCCTTGTTGGTCAGTCTCCACCCCCCCCCCCAGGCCTGACCTTGGGCTGTTGAGGATTAAGCATGGCAAACCCCATCATTAAGCATGGCAAACTCCATCTTCTCTCCCTTCGTCCTTTGTGCTGTCGGCCCTTTGGTCATTCAGCATCATGCCAGCGGCTGAGCTGGGCCAAGAAGGTGCAGACCAGCCTGTGCAAAGGCCCAGTGGTACGATGGAGCTTGTGAGTGTTTGGGGGCCGTGTGGAAGTCTGCTAGGCTAGGTAAGAGGGGCCAGAGGGTGAGTGGAAGGAGATGGGAGAGCCAGGGAGCAGAGCATGAGACATCAAGGGTAGAATTGTGTGTCACAAGAAGGACTTGGGATTTTAACCTGCCTGTGGTGGGAGCTGATGAAAGATTTTCCAGAGTGGAGTGGCACCCTGAGGTCAGACAGGTTTTGGAGGATCCCTCAGGCTGAAAGGAAGAGGATGCATTGGTTGGTGGCACTTAGAAAGCCATTGCAGGTGCCCAGGCAGGCAGAGAGGAAGGCTGAGCTGGGACATTGACTTTGTGCGTGCTAGCGTGCCAAACACTAGCAAAAACCAGAGGAGTGCATGGGAAAGGCAGAAGATTCATGATGTGTGCTACAGTACAGGAAGCCCAAGCAGGGAGGCAGTTTGCACAGCTGGTAAGCAGCCAAGCAAACAAATCCCCGATGTTTGCATTGTAGGGCGAATCTCTTCCTGTTGGACATTTAGTTTCTATCTAGTAATAAGGTGCACTGTGTTATTTATTTAATCCTCCCAACTAGGCAGGATTGATCTGTCTCCTCATTTCACAGATAAAGACACTGAGGGTCAGAGTGGTGAAGTTCAGGAACCCTCCTACTGGGTTTTCACATCTGAGCACGTATCTTCTTCACTTGGAGGGCTTGGTAAAGCACAGGTTGCTGGGCCCATCCCCAGAGGTTTTGATGCACTAGGTCTGGGTGGGGCCCGCACATTTGCATTTCCAACAAGTTCTCAGGTGCTACTGGTGACGGGGCTGTATTTATTTGAGAGCCACTGCTCAGATTGCTGCTGCCTGTGTCCCTTACTGCTGGGCATCGGGCAATGCAGAGTGGACGTCACTGGCAGAAACCTGATTAGAACTAAAAGCAGAGTCACAACCAGAGATATGCGTAGAGACCCAGATAATTTCTGACAAACAGGCCAGGATGCTGAAAGACCCAGGCAGGGTCCCCTAACTACCTTGTGCAAGTTAAAGAATGACCAGTGCTCAAAGAATCAGTGCCTGGGACTGTTGTACCAAATTGGCTTAAATCACAGGGTTTCTGGCCAAACCACATGGTGCCAAAGATAGATGTCAATATAGATGCCAAAGAACACATCTCTGCTTGTTTGTAAATCAGACTTTCCCTCCCTCGGCCATCAGCTAAGGCTTGGCTGAATTATTTTCATTGCTGAATGAATGAGGGACCAATTAACAAACCTCCTTCATCCCACCTGGGATGGGAGTTGCTGCATTTTAGCCTCCAAGGCTGGGAACCCCCTGGCTGGGAACCCCCTGGCTGGCAGCTCTGTCTTTTGCACCGAAGGAGTTATGCCAGGAGGTGGTCCTTCAGTGAAATGCAGTGCTGCCTGGCTCGTCATGCAGTGCCCTATTTTTTTTTTTTTTTTTTTACTGTCAGTTTTGGCTACTTGGGAAGTTCAGTTGTCTGTATTATCACAAAATGCCTTCTGTGTCACATAGAGACGTCCAGAAACCAGCTCCCAAACTGATAGATTTCCTCCTCTGCCCGTGGAGGGGACCCTGTGTTGGCCTCTGTCAGTAACTTCGTATAATCTGAAAATCCATGTTGGATCCAGAGGAGAGAGGAAGCCTGGGGAGAAGAACTGGACAAAGCTCTTGGAGTGTGCAGCTTAGAAACTGCGAAATGTTCCGTCGGTAACATGACCGTGTTGTATTTGCAGGAGGAGTTTTCGCCCCGTGGCTGGGGACTCGGTTTTGCTAGCCAGAGTGAGGGTTAGTGTCCCCGGGGCTTGAGGGTCTTGTTGAGCTGGGCATATGCTGCATTTCGGCCCCTCCGCCAACCCCCACCGTCTCTGCCCCGATGCCAAGGCTGAAGACGGCTGGATTTGCAGGCAATCAACTGACATTTGAGGCCTGACTTCACACCTTAATAATCACCTGTCTTAGAGTATTGTGTAGGTTGCTGGAAGCAGGGGTTCGCCAGCTCTTTCTGGAAAGGCCCAGTTGGTAAATGCCTTGGGCTTTGCAGCCCATGCAGTCTCTGTGGCAGTACCCAGCTCTGCTGTGTGGCTGAAAAGCAGCTGCAGACAATATGTAAATGAGCGGGCATGACTGTGTTCCAATAAAACTTTATTTGTAAACAGTTGGCTTGTGCGCTGTACTTTGCCACTCCTGATGTATAAAGCATTTGGTACAGTGCTTGGCGTATCACGAAGCCATTGTTTTTTTTTTTTTCCCTCCCTTAGCTTTATGGACGTATCTTGACAAATAAAAGTCGTGTATATTTAAGGTGTACCACTTCCTGTTTTGATACACTAGAAGCCATTATTGCTGTTTTTACTATTATTATTATTATTGCTGCTACTAATAATACCATTTCTTGAGCTTTTACACAGTGCCAGGCACTATCCTAAGTACTTAACATGTTTTATCTCATTTAATCTTCACCACAGGCAAACTTGCTCAAGGTCCTGCAGCCAGGAAAGGCAGAGCTGGGATTCCAGTTCCGCCTGCTAAGCACCCCGCCCCCTCCTTCCCTCTGGCACCCTGGTTTTTTCCTTTGTCACAGCTCCCACTGTTTATTGTTATCTCTGTGTTTGCATCGGGAGGCAGGGGCCTCACTGGTCCCTGTCACTGTCGTCTTCACAGCTCAGCACCCAGCACTCAGCCCTCATCCTAGTGTGTAACTAGGTCCTCCCGAAGTATTTGCCCAGGAAATAAGTGAGTCATTGACAGCAGGCCCCACGCTCTGCTCCCTTCTCTGCCAGCAAGCACCTTGCTTCACCTTTCACAGGGGGTAGGACTTGGGCTCAAAGTGGCTTTGTGATTCCCCGATCACCCACCCACTGACTGGGGTGGACAGGAAGGTGTCCACTCTTCAGGAAGAAAAACCAACCCGCAATGAAACATTCTGTGCCCGGCCCCCAAAGCAAATACCGCCACCTCTGCGAGTGATGTCACCACCTCAGGCTAGAAAAATTCCAGTTTACAACTCAGTCCCACGGACCTCATGTCACTGGTTCCTCCTGGTGGTGTTGGGAAGTAGGCTCAGCAGTAGGAGCAACTACTTCCATTTTTCAGATGTGAAAACCAAGGCTTTGAGGGGAAGAGACTCACCGAAGATCGTTCAGCTGGAAAATGGCAGGGCTGGATTTAAACCCAGGTCCGTCTGGCTCCACGGTCTGAACTTGCTCCCCAGTGGGTTGGTCGGGACTGTAGGTCCATGGGCCAGCTGCACCCGGTTCACCTTATTACGGGTACGCTGATGTCACGGCCCAGCCCTAAGGTCCTGAGTGAGTGGGTGGGGCCCCAGTCGCCCGCATTTAACCAACTCCCCAAGTGATTGTGGCAGGCAGGCAAGGCTTGGGATCCGCCTCACCCTGCAGGTCCTCAGAATGCCACCTGATCCTTCTCAGCTCCAGCCTTTTGTTTTGCTGTTTATGATGGAAACATGATGCAGGCTAAAGAGCCCAAGGCAGTTCATTATTCTATGCTGTCTGCAAAATAACTTTTTAAATTTTGAAACAGGCTCGTACAAAGTTGCAAACAGAGTAGAGTTCCTGTGGACCTTCATGCAGCTTTCTCCAGTGGCAATATCTGAAAGATTAGGGTTTTTAAAAATGTAATTGCAGTACCATCTTTGGCTTAAAATTATTAATAATAATTCTTTCATATCATCAAATGTGTTCCAATAATCCATTGAGGTTGCAGAATGGCTCATTTCTTTTTTCCAGCATCAGTGTGAGCTTGTGTATTTAAACATACCTGGTCTGTTTCAATCCACTGTACTCATCATCCTGGTCGAAGCTCACTTGTCCCTCTGTTGGCCAGTGGGAGCAGCTTCTGGTTGGTTCTGGGGCCTCTAACAATCGCATTCATCTTTAGTTTCTTTGTTGTCCGGCACAACAAGATGTTCTAGGCTTATCTTGTACGTTTCCTGCCCAGCCACTTTGACAAGAAGAATCTGGAAGTTTAAAACAAAAACAAATGCCTGGTCCTACCCCACACCAGCTTAATTAGAATCCCTGGGGGTGTGGGGTGGGGCCCAGACAGAGTGCTTTTTTCAAAGCACTCCTGGCCTGGATGGAAAACCGCTTGATTAGAGAGCGATATTAGAGAGAGTGTGCCGTCTTATCAGGCTCTCTGAATGCCTTATCTCTGCAAAGTACTGGAACAGTTCAGCCCAGTCCTTGGCTAAAGAACTCATTGCTGCATGGTGACCTCCCTTCCCTGAGCTAAAGCTTGTGTTCCAAGGGACCAGTATGTACCCACATTGAAAGCCGGCTTTTGTCTGTACTCCAGAGGCTCTGTGCTGATGTCACTTGCCTTGTCTGCATGATGTTGAGCAGTATTGTACTTCTTGGAAATAGGTTCTTTCAAAGCTTGTTTAGAATCTGTCAGTGACTGTCTGTTGCCCTTAGGATAAAGATCAAAATTCTTTATGTGGCCTCCACTGTAGACTGCTCAGGCCCTGTCTTCGTTCCTGGAGTCTGCTATGCTTCCCTCTACCACAGGGCCTTTGCACACACTGCTCTCTGCTGGGCATGCCTTGCCTTTCCCCTTAGTTTTCGTCTACTCACCCTTCAGATGCCAGCTTCACTATCTTCCTCTAGGAAGCCTTCTCTGACCCCAATAAACTAGATGAGCCCCCATCTGTTTACGTTGTCCCATCGGTAATATTTACCCACCTTCAAGGCACGTATCAGAATTGCACTGTCGCATTTGCTCATGTGAGCAGTTGGTCTCTCTCTCTGGAGCCTAACTCTTTGGGGCTCACGTTGTGTCCCTATTGCTTCTAGCTGTGGGAACTCGGGCAAGTCCTCCCACTTCTGGTCTTTGGTCTCTTTAAGTACAAAACAGGGTGGATACTTTCACCTACCTCTTAAGGTGGTTATGAAGATTAGACAGGGTGATTTGTGTAAAGCACTTAGAACTAGCTAGTAGAGGAAATAAATGTTTGTTGGATGGATGGATGAATGTGGTGGGGGTAATAGTAGTAGCATGTTCATAAAGTTCTATAGGGATATAAAATAATGCAAGTACTTAGTTCTTTGTAGAACATTTGGCACATAGTCCTGCAAATCTTTGTGGAATGAATGGGCGAAGTGGGGTTGACAGTAACCCCAGCTCATGGGATGGGTGTGGTGTCCTAAGATCCGGTGGGTCTGAAGCACAGTGTACTGACACTCAGGAGTTACTCGTTGGGTGGAACTACAGGAGCTGCCATGCGTTTCTTTCTCCTGGTGCTCAGGAGAGGAATTCATTTGGGGGAAGAACAGTACGGGAGCGGGTGGTGGTCCTTTTGAAGGAAGAGTGGCCAACCGACAACTCCTTTCCAAGCCCTGGCATAGGCGACAAGTTTAATCATTAATTACCTTTTCTTTTCCACCCTGTCCTTTCTCCCCCCTAGAATCCTTGCCCGGAATCCGGTGCCTCCTTCCTTTCCAGGATCACCTTCTGGTGGATCACAGGGTAAGGCGGGCACCCCATACCCTGGGTGGGTCATGGGGAGTGAATGAGTGAATGAATGAACAAACAAATGAACAAACGCAGCTCAGCTCCCCTGTTGCTCCCTTCCTCTTTCCCTCCCTCCTTTGCTCTTCTACGGAATTGTGTCCTGAGTCTGCCTGTGCTGGGCACATGGTCTCAGAGACACTGACTCTGTCCCCCAAGGTCATGCACTTGACTGTAATCAATACATGAACCATGAGCAGCTTGAACCCCTGTGGAAGTCTTGGCCTGGGGTAGCCACAAGCTATCCTGCTCTTAGCTGTAGTTTTGGGCATTTTTTACATTAGGTATAGTTATTAATATTACTGATACCATCTTCTCTCCCCCGTTGGAAAAATACTACACACAGACCATAGGAGGTGTGGGTAAGACAATCATGCAAAGATCAACAACAAGAAAACACCCTGAGGCAACCGCGCTTACATTTTGATATACTTCCTTCTGTCTTGTTCTGCCCATTGTCAACATCTTACTGGGAATTATTTGAATCTCTTTCCCCCCTAGTAAGCATCATCTTTGTCTTTATGAACTTTTTACAAACATCTTTTTTTTTAATGAAATGTTCTACGTAATTTTTTCAAATTACTATTTTAAACAACGTCACTGATAGGAGCAAGATGAGGATGAGTTAAAAAAAAAAATAAAAAATAAAAAAAAAAACAACGTCACTGGGACAATTGATGTAATTTGAATATGGACTGCATTCTTGTTTTCGATAACTGTACTCTGGTTATATAAGATCTTGTCCTGGATTTCAGGGGGATACATACAAAGTTTTAGGGGTAAAGGCATGTAGAGTCTGCAACTTACTCTCAAATGGTTCAGAAAAAGATGATGTGTTTGCATGTGTGTGTGTGCAGGTAGATAAGACAGACAGAGATACTGCAATACGTTAACAGTAGTGAGCTAAGTGAATTCTTTGTACAATTCCTGTGATTTTTTTTTCTATAAGTTTGAATTTATTTCAAAATATCAAATGAAAATACTCGGTCTATTGTTTATCCGGAAGGCGTTCACACATGTAGAAAGGCTGGTATACTACAACTACTCATCACCCAGATTTAAATAAGATTGCTAGTGCTTTGTCGTAGCAGCCTTTTAAAATTTAAAGATCTAAAAAGTAAGTTGGAGCCTATCCTGATATTTCCCTCCTGAATCTTCTGTGTGCATCTTTAAAAAAAAAAATGAAGACATTTTTCCTAGGTGACCTAACAGAATAAGCAGTAATTATGTAACATGCCTGAATGTCCATCCGTGTTGGGATTTTCTTAGTTGTGTGGCTGCCTCAGGTGGCAAGGTCGCTGGGCGTGCGGAGTGAGCCCCACCCTCTTCCTCCTCCCCTTCCTCCTCCTTGAATCGGCTCTCATTGACTGCTCCCTTGTGTCTTGGCCCAGGTTGATGATCCGGGGCTACCGCCAGCCCCTGGAGGGCAGTGACCTCTGGTCCCTCAACAGGGAGGACACGTCGGAACAAGTTGTGCCTGTGCTGGTAAAGAACTGGAAGAAGGAATGTGCCAAGTGTAGGAAGTAAGTGTGAGTTTCCTTGCACTTCCTGGGAAGCCGGACACACTCAGGATGATCTAGTCACCTCCTTGCCCTGGCCTGAATCCAGGTCGGGCCACTGGCAGTGTTGCCTTTTACCAGCTTTGTGGTTCTGGGCAAGAGGCCTCACTTCCCTGGGCCATAGTTGGCTCATCTGCCGGATGGGATAGAGGCTCACGTATAGTGAAGGCAGTTTGGGCAGAAGAGAAGAGAGAAAAATATTGATTAAGTGGCCCATGGATTCCATCTGCCACAACCCTCTAAGAGCGTGTGCCGGGAGTGTGGCACACTCTTTTGTTAAGAGTTTTTTAAAAGAGGCAGTACAAATCTTGAACTCTTCATAGAAGTTTCTGCACTTCAGTAGACATCCCTGGATGAGCCTAATTCGGGAGCCCTCATTTAAAATGCGTTTCTTGAAGTGCAGTGTTGTTCATTTAGAATGTTCCACTATAATTGTAAATTATCTTTCGTAAGATTTCACCATTTTTTATAAGCATTTGTTGCTTCCAAGGCTTAATGCTTATACATGGAAAGGTAGTGTAGCCTGAAGGTGCAGTACTCAGTTGTTAGGAAGTTAAGGTTCCAACTTTTATCTTGAGTCTTGACTTCAGCTTTCAGATCCCCTTGCTCACCTTAGGCAATGATTTTTTTCCTGTCTAAGGCTGGAAGAAAAAGAAACAAAAGGGGGTTGAACCCCAAAATCCCCACACATTTTCAAAAGCCAGAGTTTACACCCCTTGCAGTATTGCCATTTGTTGACATCAGAGTTTCTCTCTGACCCAGTCAGACATCTGAGGCCTCTCACTGTATCCAATCCAGGTCATCGTCAGATCCAGTCCAATCCTGGGTCCAATCCAGTTTCTGTTGCAACTGGCAAACCGAATGCAGGTCAAAAATTTGCTCAAACTCGGGTAGCCCAAAAGACACATCTGTGGAGCTTTAGAATCCAAGAGAACTTTCCCGTGATCCCCAGCTTCTGGAGGTTGCTGGGAGCACTACTTAGAGTCCCACTTCTGACACCAAATGCTAAAAGACAAACTTTAGATAGATTAAATTTAACAGAGTTTAATCGAGCCAAGGATGATTCACAAATCATCAGCCCCCAGAAGTACCGTAGGTTCACGGTGACTTTGGGTCCGCCATGTGGACAGACCCAACATTAAGAGAAAGTGACATGCAGGAAACAGCTGGATTGGTTGCAGCTCAGTGTTCGCCTTATGTGAACATGGTTTGAAAGTTCGCTGCCTGCGATTGGCTGAGACCTGCCTCCTTGTTACCAGAGTCGGTTACAGTCCGTTTACAGTTCACTATGGATGGAGAAGCCTTTAGGCCGAACTTAAAAATGTGTTAGGAGGTTGCTTTAGGCTGAACTTAATCTCACACTCTCACGAGGCTCCTTGCTGGTGGGGGTTCCTCAGCTCCCTGCCCAGAGCAGGGGTTCAGGCCATATTAGTGGAAAAGTGGCTGATTGTTCCCTTTGCCCACGTTAAAATTCGGATCAAGTGAGCAAATCCCTTTTTCCTCTCAGTCCCCACCCTCCTGGCCCTTTCTGTCCCTCTGTTCTGGGCAATTTTATCCTGACTCAAACCTTCTCTGCTCAGCTTTCCTGACTTCTTGCAACTGGACCATTCAGATGGTCTGTGTGTTTCTTCTCTCATCCAGGAGCTCCTTTCAACCGTACAGGCCTCTTGGTGACTGGGTGTTTTCCTTTCCTGACTTAGCTGATCCTGTCCCCTGCACTTGACCTCCACCGCCCGGGTCTGGGCCTTCCTCCCTTGCCTGCTTGAGTCCTCTTCCCTGCCCTTGGGCACCCGTCTCCTGGTGGTTGAGAACAGCCCATGCGGCGCAGGGTCCTGCCCAGGAAGTGGTGTGCAGGACAGTGAGGCTGAGCCTCTTCCTTCCTCCTTGCCAAGAAGGCCTGTATAAGTTAAAAGAAGTCCTACCAGAAATCCCAGTCAGGGAAAACAAGTGACACAAGCAGGGAAGGACCTTAGGTGGCGATATGACAACATGGAAAACAGAAAGTATCCTCTGTGGTCAGCTTAATAATGCCCCCGTCCCCCAACAGTGTCCGTGTCCTTATCCCAGAGCCTGGGAATGTGTTACTTTACAGGACGAAAGGTTTGTGGATGTGATGAAAGATTGACTTTGAAATGGGGAGAATATTCTGTCTCTTCTGGGCAGGTGTGATGTCGTCACAAGCTTGCTTGTGAGTGGGGGACAGGAGGTCAGGGAGAGGAGGTGCTAGATGCCGGCTCTGAAGATGGAAGGAGTGGCCGTGCGTCTAGGAATGCAGGCAGCTTTTAGAAGCCGGCCCGCGCCCGGCCCTCATTTTGATTGTGTTGACTCTGTAGATCAGTTTCGGGCTGGCACTGTTCTAACTCAGTTACCAACGTTACCAACTCAGTTTTCACAGCAGCCCTGTGAAGTGGGTCCTACTGTCGTCCTTGTTTTACAAATGAGAAAACAAAGGCCTCAAGGTCAAGGAAGTTGCCTAAAATCACACCGCCGGCCAGTGGCCAAGCCAGGATCCGAACCCGGGGCTCCCGCCTCCGTGTTCAGAGCCACTGTGCTGAGCTGCCCCTCTGCGGTGGCTTGTTGACTTTGGCTCTGCCTTCCCCAAAGGGGGATGTCCCCGGGCCTCCCTGGGGTGGTGGCTGCGTCTCTGGCGGACCCCACAGCCGTTTCCCACCCTGCCTTCCAGGCAGCCGGTGAAGATCACGTACTCCTCTAAGGAGGCCGCCAAGCCGAAAGGAGGCTCCAAGCTGGACGTGAACGAGGAGGCGGAGGCCTTGATCGTCAAGTCCCCGCAGAAGGACCGGGAGCCCTGTCTGTTCAAGGTGTTATATAAGACCTTCGGGCCCTACTTCCTCATGAGCTTCCTGTTCAAGGCCATCCACGACCTGATGATGTTTGCCGGCCCCGAGCTCTTGAAGTAAGCCAGCCCCCTTCCCTCCTGAGGGGGCCCCATCTCCTCCATTTGGCCTTTCGCTTACGTCACTGCCTTAGGGCCCCGTGGTGTGCCCACAGCCCGTGTCTCCGTTGTGACCTGCTCCGTTTTAGGCTTTGCTAAATTACTGTCTTAGTTAAGGCCACTTTGGTTGTAGGTCACAGGGACCCACTAGGCCTCTGTGAATTCCAAATGGGAAGGACATGGGTGCATTTGGGAACGCCAAGAGCAAGGAAGTGCTGGCAGGTCTCATGAAAAACGTCAACCAGGAACCGCGAAGTCAGAAATGAGGTTGCTCTCTCCTCCCCGCTCTGCTTCTTTGGCCCTCGGGGCCTCGCATCCATCCTCCTTCCCTCCGTCCCTTGAGTTCCCGTTTGGTCACCTTCGGGTGACTTTCTGGTGATGAGACAGTGATCAGTTCAAGGATGCCACGGCAGAGGCCCTTGTCACAAGTGGCTTGGGCCACCCGCGCAGTCGGGTCACCGTGGGCTTGTGTCTCCATCCGTGAAACCGAAGTGCCAGTGCCCGAGAGCGCCGCAGCACCAGCCCTGAGCGCTCTTCACACCCCCACGCGTCACAGTCACATCCTCCCCTCTCCCCGGCAGGCTGCTCATCAACTTCGTGAACGACACGGAGGCCCCGGGCTGGCAGGGCTACCTGTACACGGGGCTGCTGTTCGTCAGCGCCTGCCTGCAGACCCTCGTGCTGCACCAGTACTTCCACATCTGCTTCGTCAGCGGCATGAGGGTCAAGACCGCCGTCATCGGTGCCGTCTATCGGAAGGTAGGGGACGCCGCGTCCTTGGCGCCTGTGTGCCGGCTTTGACGCCCCTACCCTCAGCCTCAGAATCCCCGGGGATTTGGCGAGGTCACTGCAGGGCCAGCCCAGCTTCTGGAGCAGCAGGTGAGGGGGTGGCCTTGGTGACGGAGCGTGGCAAGGATGGCGACCGTCAGGCGTCACACCTTAGGCAAAGCTGGCGTGAAGGGCCAGTGTGTGGAGTGTCTGGGCGCCCATGGGTTTCTTAGCTGGATCGGTGGTCCTCGGTGTGGGGAAGTCCAAGTTCAGATCCTCACTCTGCTGTTAATTTCCTGTGTTTGAGCCGGTTCTCGCTCTCAGTTTGGATTGAGGGGGTGATGGAGTACATGGCAGGCATCTGCGTGCGTCCAGCTCTAGAGCAACCAAATTGCCTTCTCCATCCTTTCATTTCTGCTACCTCTGGGGAAAGGGCGTCGCTTGGCCCGTGGGTTAGGAAGAGACAGGCTTGCGGATAGTTTGGAAAGCTGGGCCAGACTGGCGCTTCTCAGCCCTGTCTGCGAATCAGACTCGCCTGGGGGGCTTAAACTCCTGACGCCCAGAGTTCACCCACACCAACTAAGTCGAGGGTGCGCAGGTAGGGCCCAGGTGTCAGTATTTTTAAAACTGCCCGGGGGATAGTGTGCAGCCATGTGGCCTAGACAGGCGGTTCTCAGCCAGGGCCACTGGCGTCGCTCCCCCACCAGGGGATACTTGGCAATAGCTAGAGATGTTTCTGCTTGTCACAACTAGGAGTGACAGCAATTAGTGGGTAGAGGCCGGGGATGCTGCTTAACAGCCTGCGGTGCACAAGACAGCCACACAAAGAATTATCGAGTCTGAAAGTGTCGGGAATGCCAAGGCTGAGAGACCCCGGCCTAGCCCCTTGGCCCTTCAGCGGGATTGGGATGAGCTGCACCAGTGTGACCTGGGAGCTCGCTAGAAACGCGGCATCCCAGGCCCCGGCCCGGACCTGCCGAATTGGTAACTGCACCGGGACACGTTCCCCAGGTGGCGGTGTGCACATTTAAGTGTGCAAAGCCCTGGTTTTGAGGGTGCCTAAGGTCCCTTCCAAACTGAAGCTCCCAAGGTGGGAGGCAGTGAACGTGGGCTGTGTGGAGACCTGGCAGGCAGGTGAGCCGCGGGGGAAGAGAAGAGTCTGCGGCTTCTCCGCCGTGGAGTCTCCTTCCTCTCCACGGACCTGGTGGGAGGGTACAGGGCTCTTCGCTCGCCACACTCACCCTCTCTCCCTCTCCTTTGTCCCGCAGGCCTTGGTGATCACCAACTCAGCCAGAAAGTCCTCCACGGTCGGGGAGATCGTCAACCTCATGTCTGTGGACGCCCAGAGGTTCATGGACTTGACCACGTACATTAACATGATCTGGTCGGCCCCTCTGCAAGTCTTCCTCGCGCTCTACCTCCTGTGGCTGGTGCGTGTTTGCGTCGTTCCCCGTCGTGTGTAGGGAGGGACATCCATGTGCGGGCGGTAGGGGTGAGGGGCAGTGAGTGTCAGTGGCAAGAGTGTCTGTAGCTCACTGGCATTTCTTGCTGTCATTCACATTTTATTTTCTGGCCCATGAACCAATTCGTGGATTGTTTCATTTCTCCCATGAGTTGTCAGATTTATGTTCTCTTTGGTGGCACCGTGTTTGCATCTTGACAGTGTAATTAACAACACACTTCATTTTCCCATTGCATCCTCCCAAACACTAACCAAACTCGTTTTTATTCACTAGTCTCTAACCATGTTGGTCAAGAGTCTCTGGGTTGCAAGGGATAGAGACCTGTCTTACAATAGCCTAAGCAGATAAAGGGAACTTCAGGGCTGCACATACCAGAAAACTCTGGGGATTGGCTTCAGGGGTGGATGGATCCAGGAGATCAAGGACTGTTGCAAGTACTTAGTCTCACTCACTCTTTTGTCATTTCTTGGCTCCGGTTTTCTCTGAGTTGGTTTCATTCTCAGTGGATTTCCCCAGATGGCTTCCATAGTTTTGGGCTTATATCATTTTTACAGATAGCACCAGAGAAGAGAGAAGACCATACCCATTTGCCTGCCCCAGCCAGAGTTGCAGGGAGCCCTCCGATTGGTCAGGCATAGTCCTGTTCACATTCCTGAACCAATCACTGTGGCCCAGAAGGCAGAGTTCTGTGATTGGACCGCCTGGGTCACATGTCCTCTCCCACTGCAGAAGAGACGTGATTGGCAGTTCTTCCACGTGGGGAGGGACAGTTCCCAAGATAAAAAGAGGCTGAGCAAAGAGGCCTCTTGTATAACACATGCCTTGCACTTTCCCACCTCTGAGCCTTTGCACATGCCTTTCCTTCCACTAAGTATTCCCTTCCTTTTTCCTAGCTGATGAAATCCTGGCCATCCTGTAACAAATGCCGCTGCTGTTGATTTCCTCCTGATCTCAGTTAGGTGGACTTCCTCCTTTTTTGAGTCCTGGTAACTTTAACGTAGGGACTCATCTGATTTTACTTCCTGAAACAGTTTTTTGTGTGCTCAGTACACCGCCACCTCCCTGACGCTAAAGTTAGTACGCTAGCCACTCATGGGCATGTGGCATCTGGCTGACTTTTGTATCTTCTGTGAGTGCAGCCCCCGCAGGGCCTGGCGCACACCAAATTATCTGCTGTTACCGAAAGAGAAAGGGAGAAGAAAAAAATTACCTGCTGATTTTCTTGTAGTTCACCTTTTTTTGTGTATATTTATAGAACAGAAAGTGAATAAAGTGTTTCAAATAATGAAACTTAGAAGATGAAAATGCCAGAATTTAAATATCTAAGTAAATGCCAGATCTCTTAGGGTGCCCACTTTCCCAGAAAGTTTCGCCACGGGTAAAAATATTTTTGGAACACTTCTTTTAGAATTGCCTTCAGAATTGGTTTTTGAACCATTAAGAAAATTGCTTAACATCACACATCACACCTTGTTGTACATGAGGGTTGTTCAGCCTGGACTCTTTTGATATTTGGGGCTGGATAATTCTTTGTCAGGGGGCTGTCCCATATGTCGTAGGGTGTTTAGCAGCGTCCCTAGATGCCAGCAGCAGCACCCCCTCTAGTGTGACAACCAAAAATGTCCCCAGATATTACCAGATGTCTCTTGGGGAGCAAATTTGTCAGTTTGGGGGCCACTCCTTCAGGCCAAAAACGGGATTTCTCTATTCGACCATCAAAACACAGTACAGGAAAGTAGATGATGATGATGTAGGCTCTGGAATCAAGCTCCCTGCATCCAAATCCTGCTTCTTCCATTTCTAGCTCTGTTACCTTGGACAGGTTACTTAATGTCACTAGGCTTCAGTTTCCTCATCTCTAAATTGATAATAGTGGTACCTCTCATCATAGGTCTATTGGGACAGTTAAATGAATGAATGCAGATAAACGTTCATAAAACAGTACCTGGAGCTGGGTGTGGTAGCTGGAACCTGTAATCCCAGCTACTCAGGAGGGTGACGTTGAAAGATCACTTGAGCCTGGAAGTTCAAGACCCGCCTAGACAGCATAGCAAGACCCTGTCCCTACAAAAAAAAAAAAAATTACCTGGGCGTGGTGGTGCACGTCTGCAGTCCAAGCTACTTGGGAGGCTGAGGCAGGAGGCTGCAATGAGCTGTGATCACACCACTGCACTCCTGCCTGGGTGACAGAGTGAGACACAGTCTCTAAAAAAGCAAACAAGCCAGTGCCTGGTATATAGATGTCCTTATTGTATTTTAGCTACTATTATTTGCCATGGGTGTGGATTCAGAATGCTTTGGTTGTTGGTAGGAATCATCTTCATCCTCAAAGCTAAATTAGTCTCGCTGGCCAGAGATATGTCACAAAACCATCTGGAACAACAGTAACATTTTTCTGGAACTAGGAGTGGAGTCCCTGAGGGTGACTTCTTTGAAGAGGCTAACACTCTTGTTTTCCTGAATTTCGTCTAATGGAGGAAAAACCACACTGTCCTCTAGTTCCACGCTAAGGATGGAACTATATCTCAGCCAAGTCCGTACAGTGGGCCAGCTTCTCAAGGTGTCTTTTTTTGTTTGTGTCATTCAGGAGGAAGTTGAAAGATACAGATCTGTATCTTGTCTTGGCCACTGACCACTTAACCTTTCTGAAACAGTTTCCTTATCTGCAGATGGGGTAATAGAACAAGTCTAAACCTGTTATCTACTAAAGCCCCAACATCAAAAGGCTCTGAAAATTGTAAAGTTTTCCTGAACTCATTTGCTGGTGAAATTTCACCTACACTGATAAGGTCTTTCTTGTCTTGATCATCCCTCTCAGTGTGAATATTCCTGTTTGGCTGCTGAAAGATCAATGCATTTGATTCTAGAGTGCTGTGCTGTGCCCCTGCAGAGGTTGTGAGGATTTATATGACATACACACCTATGTCAGGGGTCCCCAAGCCGCACCAGATTCGATGATATGCTAGGAGGACTCACAGGACTCAGCATGGAGTCATATCCATGGCTATAATTTAATGCAGCAATATTAGCAAAGAATAAAGGTAGCTGGGCCAACGTCCAGGGGAAACCAGGTGTGAGCTTCTAGGAGTCCTTGCCCAGGAGAGTCACTCAGGGTGCACCTAATTTCCCAGCAACAAGTTAGGATTACATGTGTGAAGTGTTGCCAAGCAGGCAAGCTCAGTAGAGATTCAGCACCCAGAGTTTTTACTGCGGGCTGGTCACGGAAACACCCTTTGCTTGGCACGCTCCAAAAGTCCAGACTCCCAGAAGGAAAAGGGGTGTTCAGCATAAACTGTATGGTTTGTACAGTTAAGGCACAGTGAGAGCCACTCCTATCAATTCTTTTACCGGTGGAAACCCCCTTGAAATCCAAGTTTCTGGATACCAGACAGGAGCCAAACTTGAAAGCAGCCTTTAAGCAAGATAAACAGGCAGCTGTGGTCATTATTCTCTACTAACCTTCCTAAAACTCTTGCAGAAGTCCCCAGCCCCGAGGGCTTTGGTTAAGGGAATGTGGACCTGTATATTCTTAGAGGGGTTGGAAGGACCCCGAGAGATGCTCAGAAATAAATCTGCAAACTCCTCACACCCGGTCGTTGGGTAAAAGTAATGCATGTTGCTCACAGCTGGCTGGGCAGAGTCCCTGTGTGCTGTCAAAGCCCTTGTTCTCTCCTGTCTGGTGAGTGATGAAGAGTCTCTTTTCCTTCCTCAGAACCTAGGCCCTCCCATCCTGGCTGGGGTGGCTGTGATGATCCTCATGGTGCCCATCAATGCTGTCATGGCGATGAAGACCAAGACCTACCAGGTAGGGTGTCCATGTCCCGAGTGGGCCGGTGGCTGAAGCCACAATGTCAGTGGGCCTGCAGGAGAGCCCTCATTTCCTGTGGGATTATTCATCATGTGTTTATGTGACTCAGCTTCCAAAAGTTGAGTTAAAGATTACCCTCTACTTTCCCCCCCATTAAGCTCTCACCTTATGTTAGGCACAGCGTTCAACTGTTTATTTTTAGAGATATTTTGTATTTAGAAAAACTTGAAATCCCTGAGCAATAGAGTGAATGCTTTCTTATTACTAAAAAGTTTAAATAATACAAAAGACTATAGATTAAAAGAGGATGGCCTCCTCTCCCCTACTCTCTCAACCGCTGTGAACACATCAAAGCAAATCCTTCTAGAATTTTCCATGTGTTTATATACAGATATGATTAAATAGTTGGGTTTGTTGTTGTATATATGTATTTTTGTGATATTCTCACCGCATCTGTTTTTACCCAAACGGGCCTGCTTGGCAGCATGATTTTATTGATATCATTAAGCACCAAGCTTCGGGGGTCTTCCCCAAAGTGCTGTGTTTCATAGCCAGAATTTATTCACTTGAACTGGGGCCTAATGGTCCATAAGAGAGGCCTGTTTCTTGGCCAGCTCCACCGTTGATGGGTGTTTATGCTGTGCTGTGAAACTTCAAACGGGAGCCCTTGGCCACACTCACGGTGCCGCTGGGGAGACGAGTTCCAGGACACGGGCCTGTTGGAACGAGAGGCCGCGTGGAGTGGGGACGGCTGGACAGGCGGGAGGGGGCTTGGGGCTGAGTCACCTCTCATCCTCTGGATGTGTCAGCTTCCTCGAGCTGCCCACCTCGGAGACGGCTTCCATCGCTGCCCTCCAGGTGACGTGGCTTAAAGTTGACCCAGCGGTGACCATGGCGCTGAACGCTAGGGTCCTTGGGACCGTTCAATGGCGAAATGCATGTAAAATGCTTAGAAAGGTGCCCGGCATGTGAAAATGCTGGGTGGTATTAAAAATATTTACCAACTTACAGCACAGGGCACAGGCACCCGCTGGCCGGAAGCAGTGCCAGCTGGGATAGAAGCATTTCACTGTTTTAACAACCGTGTACGGCTGACAATTAAAAAAACCCAAGAAACGGAGAAGAAAAATACCATCTGCCCTGGGTCTGGGTCAGCAGAATAGGGCCCATGTCCCTCCTTCTCTGGATACCAGAAGGGTTTTTCTTGCCTCTTTTCCTTGATTCTAAATTGGGTAGTTTTCTCTAATGTCTAATGTGATTCGAAGCAGTTTTTCCCCCTTGATAGAGGAGCCCTTTGATGTGGTCTCAGGGGCCAAGAGTAGGACACATGAGGTCTTGGGGGGGGGTCGGCCCACCCACCCTCAGGAGGCCCATTTTTAATGGTTGGCGATGTTGGGTGACAGTCTGATGCCGGGGCCAGCCCCCGGACGTGGCGTTGATTTCCCCTCTCTTGGAAGGTGGCGCAAATGAAGAGCAAGGACAACCGGATCAAGCTGATGAATGAAATTCTCAACGGGATCAAAGTGCTCAAGCTCTACGCCTGGGAGCTGGCGTTCAAGGACAAGGTGCTGGCCATCAGGCAGGAGGAGCTGCAGGTGCTGAAGAAGTCGGTCTACCTGGCAGCCGTGGGCACCTTCACCTGGGTCTGCACGCCTTTCCTGGTGAGTGAAGCCCGCTTTTTCCTGGCCCGTGTTGTTTCACGTTTTGTTTTATTTTCACACCTAAGTATTTTTGAAAGGTCGCTGTTTGAGTGAGAACACTTTTAAAAAACCTGACCACTCTTCTGAGATGACAGATAAAACAACAACAAAAAAACAACAACAACAAAAGAAAAACCTGACCACTTTTTAAAAAACTCTTAACACTTAACATCTTTCAGCCAACCTATCGGGGAACCGTGCATTACCTGTTCGCCATGACAATAAGGGGTTTGTGCCAGGATGTAAACCCAGCTCTCTGCTTCCTTCATCGAGAAAGTCTTATGAGAAAAAAATGTTCACTGAACCAAACATCGTGCTCGGTGCCGTAGTGCTGGTTCCTTCTCTTGGTACCAACTGGTCCCAAAGTGTGGAGTGTCGGCGACCTGTGGACCACGTGTTGAGTCGCACTGCCAGACACGCTCTGTTGTCTGTCTCTCCCTGCTAGGATGTCATCTCTAGAACGGCAGGAATTTTTGTCTTTTCTACTGACTGCTCTCTCCTCCATGCCTAAAACAGTGAACAGTAGGTGCTCAAACAATATTTGTTGTTCACTGTAAAAAAAAAAAAACTTCACAACATACAGAAAGATACAAAATGAAAAGTATATTGTCTTCCCCTCTATCTGTCCCTCTTCTCCAAAGTGACAGTTTTGTGTATCTTTTCAGAAAAAAATACACAAGCACTTAGGTATTCAAAAAACAAGTTTTTGACGTGTTCAAGTGGAATCAAAGTATACATAGCGTTACGTGTCTTTTTTTGTACTAACCTGTGTCCTCTTGGTTCAGGCAGTCAGAGCTGCTTTGTTTGTTTTAATGACGCGTGCTTGTCGCGTGCTAGGATGCGCCTTGGCGAACTTACCTGTTGTCCGGTGCTTGCTGTTCTCTCCTGTGGCCATCCACGCTGTGCTGGATGTTCTGATACACGTGTCTTGGGGTACTGTAACGGGTCTGTACCTGCCAGCTTTGAAAAGTTTAAAGACAACGGTGCAATTGGCCAACTAATATATATAGAAAAAATTAGCTGGGCTTGGTGGCACATGCCTGTGGTACCAGCTACTCGGGAGGCTGAGGCAGGAGGATCGCTTGAGCCCAGGAGTTTGAGGTTGCTGTGAGCTAGGCTGACGCCACAGCACTCACTCTAGCCTGGGCAACAAAGCGAGACTCTGTCTCAAAAAAAGGTAAAAAAAAAAGACAAAGGTGCAAGTTATCATTCTACAAAGCTGGCCTTAATCCAGGAGGCCATATAGTGAGGGACTATGGAAACCCCGCTTGGAGCATGGTTAGTGGTTAAGGATGACTTTAGATCATGCCCTTCTGTTTGTTTTTTCTTTCTGTCTTTGTATTATTTACTGTCATCCTTTTTGTAATGTATTATTAATGACTATTCCTTCTTAGGTTAGCAAATATGCATTCTTACAGGAAGTTTCTATGAACTAAAAATTACACATTTTTATAAATATGAAGCTTTTCTTTTTTCTTCTTTTTTGACTGGAGGGTGGTGGTGGGATCGTAGGTCACTGTGATTTCAAATCTCTAGGCTCAAGCGATCCTCTTGCCTCAGCTTCTAGAGCAGCTGGAATTATAGGCACCCGCCACCATGTCCAGCTAATTTTTTTTTTTTTTTAATTTTTTTGGTGGAGACAAAGTCTTGCTATGTTTCCCAGGCTGACCTCAAACTCCTCCCCTCAAGCAGTCCTCCCGCTTTGGCCTTCTAAATCACTAAGGTGACAGGCATGAGCTACCACCACAACTGGCAAAAGGTTTTCTATTAAACTACCACCTGTTCATCGCAGCTGAGTCGCAGGTGAAAGGCTTAAGGAAACTCCACGCTTTTCACCCTTTATCACAGTGTATACATCGTTGGATTTTGTTTAGGTCCACCTTAAATCTCTGAGTCTGGACTTGCAGCACAGATGGTGCTCAAATTTGAGCTGGTGTCACCATCACCGGCAGGGCTTGTCAAAACACAGCTTGCGGGACCCCACCCAGAGTTTCAGATTTACTAGGTTTGGGTGGGGCCGGAGCATCTGCATTTCTAAGGTGTTCCCAGGAGCTGTTGGTTTGGGTCTCACACCTTGAGACCCACTGGAGTCCATCCTCACGCCTCAGGGTGAGGTCCGTGGACCAGCAGCATTGCAAACCCCTGGTGGTGGTTAAAAATACCCTCAGGCCTCACCCCAGATCAGAATCTGAATTTAGCAAGTTGTCTCTAGGTGGTTCATATGCACATTCAAGTTTGAAAGACCCTGGCAAGAAGTAGGAGTGAGCAGACTTTTTCTGTAAGGAGTCAGCTAGTAAATATCTCAGGAAATCTGGGCCATATAGGGGTCCCTGTCGCAAATACTTGTCTCTGCTAGGGGAGTGCACAGGTAGCCGCAGATAATACGTAAATGGATGGGTACGTGTGTGTTTCCATAAAAATGTATATATAGACACTGAAAATTGAATTTTTTATAATTGGCAGGTGTCTTAGTCTTCTTTTGATTTTTTTTTCAACTATTTAAAAATGTAAAATCCAGCCATTCCTGGTGATACACACTGTAGTCCTAGCTACTCAGGAGGCTGAGGCAGGAGGATCACTTGAGCCCAGGAGTTTGAGGCTACAGTGAGCTGTGGTCGCACCACCGCGCTCCAGCCTGGGCAACAGAGCAAGACCCTGTCTCGAAACAAGCAGAAAGTGCAATCCCTTCTGAGCTTGTAGGCCCTATGTTAACAGGTGTGGGCCAGATGCGGACCATAGGTCAGTCTCTGGCTTAGAGGACTGGATTGTTCTCCTGAGAGTCAGGACAGGTGCGTTCTGCGCCTGGCTCATAGTGTGACCTGCAGCTGGTCGTTTTGCCTTCCCAGCTCTGGGTTTTGTCATATGAAAAATGAAGGGGTTACATCACAGGATGTCCAATGCCGGCCTCCAGCTTCCCTTCCCCTCCCTGGCAGACATCCGCAGTCGGTCGCGGTGTGCTTTCCCAGTCCCAGTGACCACTGTCAGCGCATGGGAGTTGGACAGGAAATGGCATCTCTGTGCGGTTCTGGGGCTCACTGTTCCCTAAGATCCTCCTGCCCCAGCACCTGGCACTCTGCCTCGCACCTTGCATTCCTGTCGCACTCCAGCCCCCAGACTTCCTCCAGGGCATTGACGGACTCTCTTTGTTTTCTTACAAGTAAAAGTGATATCCGAGTGGATGAGAGTTATGTAGGGTGTTCATTTTATTATCTTTCTTTAAATTGTTCAATAGTCTCTGTTAACAGTGAACTATTTGCTTTCTGTATAGGTGATATTTTAAAAACAGAAGGTAACGGGTTCACGTGGTAAGAATTTGTGTCAAACGGTCCACACACAGCAAGGACTCTCAGCCTCAGCACTGGCGACATTTGGGAACAGACGATCCTTTGTTTCGGTGTTGAGGGGGCTGTCTGGCGCATTGTCCCCAGCGTCCCTGGCCTCTGCCCGCTAGATGTAAAGTGGCGCCTCTCCCAGTTGTGACAATTGAAGGTGGCTCCAGGCACTGCCAAGTGTTCCCTTGGGGCAGAATCCCCCCGGTGGATGACCACAGGCCCGGGCCTTCCTCCTCACGCCGTGGCCGCCTTTCTCCCCTGCGCCCACCGGTTTCTTGCATGTGTTTGCAGAGAGTCCGTGTCTATGTCGGCACGACGGTGGATAGATATCATAAATGAGATGACTGCACTCGCATGTTTTTCTTATTTTCTTTGCTTTTACACAAGGAACAGCAAATCCTACGGAAACCCGTGGCGTTTTGCGTGGCCAGGGCAGGCGGCGAGGGTTGGTCTCTGGGTGGTGTCCCGCTCAGGAGGGGGTGGCAGTTTGCTCATCACCTTTTGCTCCAGACGTTGGATCCCTTGACACAACCTGCAGTTTCCAGGTCGTCACCTGGACGCATGGGCCCCTTGCCGGTGGCCTCCTGTCCCGGCCTCCTCTAGGAAGCCGCGGGAGGCGGTGTCTGAGGGCAGGGCCTGCTTCCCTTGACCTGAGCCTGCCTTTCAGTTTCCGGGTGGCGGGGAGGGCCGAGGGTGACGGGCTTCCAGAGACGGTTTGCTGAGCTGTTTGGCAAGAAACAGACGAGGCTGGGTGTCCCTTGGAGACCTTGGCCCCGGCCAAGACAGCGAAGCCTGTGACTACATTAGGGTAAAATATGTGGCCTTCAGCCGCCCTGGAAGGTGCCTGTGTGTTCTTTCCACTGGCGAATTCCTGGGCTTCAGGCAGGACGAGGTGTTTACCCAGCGGTAGGGGTGATGGAAGACAGAGGCCTGGGGAGGCTGGACAGGGCTGGGGATGCCACTGGTGCCGGCGCTGGTTTTCTGGAACACGGAGCCTGGCATTTATCACGTCCATTTAACGCCCTCTCCTAAAATCGCATGGGTAGTTAGCATTTTCCGTCTTGGATGATGTGCCGGCTTCTTGCCTTCTACTCACTCGTCTCGTATCTCCCCTCATTAGGATAATTATCGTCCCCTATGGTACTCATCTGTAGTTCTCTGGAGACACGGGACTTGTCATTTTGTACTTGCGTCCCCAGGATGCAGGGGACTTGGCAAAATGCCCAGATTATCCTGTTGCCCCAGCAACCCCTGTGCACAGAGTCCTTTTCCCCCAGTAGTTCCTGCAAGCTGCACGGTTGAGTCTCATTGGTTGCAGTGGGTAACATGCTTATTCCTGACCTGGTCACCAGGACTGGGGAGGTGGTGTGCTTGGATTGGCCGGGGCTGGGTCTCGTGGCTGGGTCGTGTGGCTTCTATCGGAGCTTGGGGCCAAGGTGGGGTGTGGGAGGTGGTTCATTTGTGAACCTCTTGAAGGTCATAGGTTGAGATCGGAGAGGTTGAGGTTTGCAGATGGAAACCGTGGTGCTGCTGAGAACAGACCAGTAGGTGCCTGTGCAGGAGCGTCAGGATTTTAGGGGTTGGGTGGAGTTATAGGGGTTAGGGCCATTGGTTTGCCACGTTTCTCAGAGGCGCCACTTAGGGTGAAACCGTTGTTCTCCGTTGCCTGTGCAGGACTTTTTGCACCCTTGACTGTCACCTGTTCCGAGGCCGTGGTGAACTCCAGCCCTCCACCTGCCAGGAGCCCATCATTAGTGCTATAGCACACACAATTCAGGTGCTAGTCACAGGGAGGTCTGGTAGTTTTGAGTAGGTTGGTCAGAGTCTCACCAAGAAGGTGACATTTAAGGAGAGACCTGATGGAGGTGAAGGAGCCAGCGTGGAGTGGGAAGAGCAAGTGCAAAGGCCCTGAGGCAGGGACTGTGCCCGCTGGTAGGCAGAATAGCCATGGAGCCTGGGACAGAGGGAGCGAGGGGAGAGTGGGAGGACAGGAAGTCGGACACCTTCAGAGACAGGATGGTCACAAGGCAGGTGGGCCCTGGGATCAGAGTCAAGACTTTGGCTTCTAAGCTGAGTAAATAGGTTGACAATGGAAAGGTGTTTTTTTTTCTTTCTTTCTTTCTTTCTTTTTTTAAATTGAAATATAGTTCACCATTTTAAAGTGTACAATCCAGTGGTTTTTCATATAGGCTGTGTGGCCATCACCACTAATTGAGGAACATTGTCATCACCCCAAAAGGAACCCTGTCCCCGTGAGCAGTTGCTTCTCACTTCCCTCTGCTCCCTCCACCCCTGGCAGCCGCCGACCTGCTTTCTGACCCTGTGGATTTGCCCATTCTGGACATCTCACATGAGCAGAGTCAAACAGCAGGCGGCCATCGCGACTGGCTGCTCTCATTTAGCTCGGTGTTTTCAGGGCTCATCCGTGGACCGGGTCCTCCAACAGGAAATAAAAACAGCTGCCGTAGGTGGAGCCGTTGAGCGTGCCCGGGGCCCTGTGGCCATGTGCCGACGAGCACTGCACAGGAGCGCCGACTTCCTGCTGCCAGTCGCCCTGGAAGGCACAGCACGGCCCACGTTTTCTAGATGGGCAGCAGGCTGTCCTGGAGAGGTGAAGCCACGCGCCCAGGGTCACACACTGATACGCGGCGAGGCGTGTGGTTTTCACTTTTAAGCTGTATCACCTTCTGGTAAGCAACAATGAAATGATGCCACCGAGACCCTGAGGGTACCCGGGTCCGCAGCCGCGGCCCAAGTGCAGGGCTCCTGGCTGCGTTGCAGTCTGCCCTGAGCTCCAGAAGTGGGGACCAGGAGTCCGTTTCTCCCAGAGAAAGCCTTTCATGGCTCCGGAAGCAAAAGGCTGACGTGGGGACAGGGTTTTCCGAATTGCGTATGATCATGTGCACAGGGTGAGCCTGCGGGATCCTGTCCCTGGCCCCGCCAGGTGACACTGGCCCCGCCCTCGCCCCCAGCAGTGAGGCAGGGGCAGCAGACCAGCGGCGCCTGTTGGCCGTGGACGCCTGTCCCTCGCCGCTTACCTCGATCCTAGGCCGGGCAGCCCCACCCTGCGCCACCCAGGGGCCTTTCCTTCCCCCTGGCAAGGGGTGAGATGCTGCCACCGCAGACAAGAAACCGGGTTCAGTGTCTCTGAGCCTCGGTGGTAAGATCCGGGAACACCGTGGCCTCGGGCAGTGTGACTCTGTGGGAGAGGGAGTGGCTTCCCAGCAAACACCGGTTGCTTGGTTTCCTTTTTGTATTTTAAGTGTTCGTGTCCTCGGGTCATAAAGTCATACTGTGTGTGAGCTGGGAGGAGCCTTCACCAGTGGCATTTACCCTCCATGCGGGTATCCCAGAAGAGACAGCTGAAGCCCTGGGGCAGAGGCTGACTCACCCGAGGTTGTATTCAGTGTCCCTAGATACTGGGGAGTGTTCTAGGCACTGAGGACCCAGTCCCGCACAAAACAAAGTCCCTGCCTTTGTGGAGTTGGCATGTCAGCACAGGAGACAGACGATAAATCCACGTAATATTATGGTATAAGGCAGCGACAGGTGCTAGGAAGAAAAATAAAGCAGAGGCGAAGGCTGGAGAGCCGTGGCAGGGCTGTTTGGGTGGCTCGGGGCAGGCGGGGAACCTGGCCACCACCCGGTGGGAAGGCGGTGTCAGGCTGCGGGATCTGCAGGCGGGGGCAGAGTCGAGGTGGGGGTTACGCTTGGTGTCACTGAGGAACGCTGACCGCACCTGCGGGGGGTGTGACTCTCCACGGTTGTGACTCTCACTCACGCACGACGGTCAGCACGGGGGGGTTCTGCTTGCAGGTAGCCCTTTGCACCTTTGCCGTCTACGTGACCGTGGACAAGAACAATGTCCTGGACGCCCAGAAAGCCTTCGTGTCCTTGGCCCTGTTCAACATCCTCCGGTTCCCTCTGAACATCCTGCCCATGGTGATCAGCAGCATCGTGCAGGTACGGGGTGCGGCCGGGTGGGCGGGCCTCGCAGGGGGGCTCTCTGGGGTCCAGGGTCCAGGAGCGAAAGGGCACAGAAGTCGTGCCATGACCCGCACGCACCCACCACTCAGGGTCACGGTCGGCATCTTGCCAGGCTTGCTCGTCCCGTCCCTTTGTTCTTTTCTTTCTCCGCTGAAGATTTTTTTTTTTTTTCCCCAAAATGTCCATGCTAGTGAATTTGAATCCGCTGAAGATTTTAAAGCACGTCCCAGACCTCTTGACGGTTCACCAGCACATACTTCAGCGAGCATTTTCTCCTTGCGTAATTACAGCGCCATTGTCATCTGGGACCGCACAAAACCGTCCTGTGCTATGTCCCATGTCCCAGCCCGCGCCAGGGTGGCTGGAGCATCTCAGGAAGGCCCGCGTGTCTGGGCCACTCGCCCGGCCTGTTAGCGTCCTCGTTACGTTCCTGAAGCCCCTTTTCATCCAGGCTGGGCCTCTGTCCTTTTCTAAGATAACTTTTGTGGGCTTTGGAAGGAAAACAAATGAGAACCCAAACCTGGTTTTTGGTTTTCATTCTGAAGTGTGTGGCGGTTCTAAGAAACGCAGAGGCTTGGGACAGGAGGGGGGTTGTGGGCCCCTCCGCGCTGGGGAAACCGCTTGCAGAGAACGCTTTCTCACTCCAACTCTGCCCTGCCATTGCTTTCTGTGCAGGCCAGCGTCTCCCTGAAACGCCTCAGGATCTTCCTCTCCCACGAGGAGCTGGAGCCCGACAGCATCGAGCGGCGGCCTCTCAAAGACGGTGTGTGTGTGTGTTTGTGTGTTTGTGTATGTGTGTTGGCCCTCCCTGTCTGGGGGTGCCGCCTCCCCACCCCCACCGGTCCCTCCCTGCTGGCATCTGTGCAGAGCTGGGGGGGGGGCGGGGAAGGGAAGCCCGTCCTCCTAGAAAGCTCCCACCTTGCTTATCTCGTGGGAGGGTGACCTTGCACTTGTGCTTTCTTGCTGGGAGGCTCTGCTGGGTGAGGCCTCCCCTAGGAGTGCCTTTCCAGGGCCCCGACCTTGATTCTGATCTGGGCATGTGCACAGGCCTAATAAGGACTCTGGAGACTGGCCAGCCCCCCCTGAGCCCTGTGTACTTAGGTCTCAGCCTCAGTTTCTTGTTTTTCTTTCTTTTCTTTTTATTCCTTTAAAAATTTTTTTTTGTGAGCTTCAGTCTCTTCATCTGGATAATGGGACCAGAAGTCCCTGCGTTTGGCAGGGTGCTGTGGATTTTTACTGGCAGGTTTGTTTATTTGGTAGCTGGTTAGTTTATCCTTTCCTAGCCGATCCTCCTGAGCAGGGATTTTGTCTGCACCTGCCTCTCCAGGCACTTAATAATAAATATTAACAGCACCAAGAGCAGCGACAGTTTCACTCCTAAGACGCTCCTGCCACGCGTGTTCTGTTCTGAGGACGCCAGTGTGCAGACTCAGCCCGAGCTCGCCGTGGCGCTGCAGGGCCCTGGAAACTCCTGCTTTACTCAGTGACTCGGCCAAGACGGCACGGCGGTCGAAAAGTAGAGTCAGGACTCACACTCGCACTGGTTGCCCGTGGTCTCTCGTCGACCCTGTCTTACAGACAGAAAAGCGAGGCACAGAGAAGTTAAGAGACTTGCCCAGGGCCACCCTGCTAGGAGGCTCAGGGATTTCAAACCCAGGCTGGCTCCGGAGCTTACTGAACGCGGTCGGGACTGAGCGTGCGTGTACGTTGGTTGTGACGTGTGCAGTGCCTGGTGCCTAGCAGGCGCTCACACGTCTTCAGTGGCACATAAGACGCTGCTGTGGCACCCGGTGCAGCCAAGATGCTGAGCAGATTGTGGTGGCTGTCACTTCTCTGGCGTGAGTGCGATTCTCCTGCCTCGGGTGCGGGGTTTCTCGTCCTGGGCAGCACAGGCATTGGGGGACACGGCATGCTCTGCTGTGCAAAGGAGTGTCCTTGGACGCTCCCCGTCACATCCAGTAGCACACACCCCAGTTCTGACGACCGAGAACCACTGCCCGTCTTCCTCCCAGCCTCCCTGGCCTGTGGCCGTCTGCTTTCTGCCGTCCCGAGGACCAAGTCCCTCGCACAGCGTGGCAGTGGTGCCTTCTCCTACGGGCTCAGATTTCTCTGCAAAACACAGGCCGACATTCGAGGCAGCCCTAGGAAGCGTCTTGCTGCTTGAAGTTGTCCACAGCTCACTGCCAGTGTGACAAAAGCCCTGGGCCTTGGGCGCTGCCTGGGCCTCAGCCCCTCCTTCCTGCGTTAGCAGCGGCCTCCTGGCTGGTCTGACTCTGGAATGTTCGTCCGGCCCTCTGTGCCAGGCAGGGCCGCCTCGGCGGCTCTCTGCTCCTGGGTCTTGCCGTTCTCTGTAATTCTCCTCACTCCAGTGGCTTTTCCTGGATTCCTAAAACATTAATAGCACCTTCTGGTCGCCTGGTTCGGGTGCAGTGCTCGCTCTGGGCGGAGCTGAGGGAGGTTAGTTTGGGGGGAGCCGGTTACTTCCTCTCCCTGTGGTTCAAGGGAGGAACCTGTTTCTTCATTTGACATCTTTAAAAAGTACCCCTGCATTATCTCCAGGTGGCCTTAAGGTGGCTCATAATTAAGAGACACATTTTTTAGGTGAGGGAAAAGGAAAATAAGGAAACACACATGACAGTAGGTGCTAGGGGCCTGGAGCAGCCGGAGCCACAGAGCCCCTGCGGGCTTTATCTCGCCCGCCCCGCCCCCACGCCTCAAGGCCGCACTTCCTGTTCCACATCCTGCTTTTTTTGAGTTTGTCCTGCCTGCTGTTATAGAAAGTTGACCTGCCGTGTTGTGGCAGGGTGGTGTGGCGTGGTGTGGCTGCAGTGGGGGAGGAAGAGGGACAAAGGGACACAGCGTGCAGCCACTGGGGTGGAGGACCTGGCTTCAGGCACCAAGGAAGGGCCGTGGGTGTGGTGGGGACCACCCTGCTGGAGCTGCCGGAGCCTGCCCAGGAAGGGGCGGAGGTCCCCAGAGCCCCTAGTCATGCTCGGGGGGGCCCCCGCCTCTGCAGCTGTCGTTTTGGGCGTCAGGATGGCGCAACCTCCTGTCTCACGGGCTGAGCCCTCTGTGGTTTTCTTCTGCTTTTTGGGTCTGAGGCTGCCTCCCAAACTGCAGGCTGGGGGTGTGGTCCTTTCAGAAACTGAGGCTGATGTCACCAGATGATGCCCAGCGCCTTTAGTTAAGTCTGACACCTGGGGTGGAACCACTTGATGGGGAGGGAGGGAATGAGTGTCCTGCTCACGCTCAGTCCCCTGACTCCATCTGAGCCTCACATGCTGTCTCTGCTGCTTTGCAGGGGGCGGGGGGACCGACAGCATCACCGTGAAGAACGCCACCTTCACCTGGGCCAGGAACGACCCTCCTACACTGAATGGGTAAGCCAGGACACCGACACACACCCGGTGGCGTGGAGAGAGCCACGGGGCCTCGGTTAAACGTGGATTTGAATTCCCGCCACACTCCGGCGCTGTGACCTTATAAAGGTCACTTTGCATTTCTGAGCCTCAGTCTACCCATCTGGAAAACAGGTCCACCTAGACCTGCTTGGGCTGTCATGAGGAGCAGACGTGAAGGTGCATAGCCCAGAGGGTCCTCTCTGGTTATAAGCGACAGAAACCATGCACAGCTAGGCTTAGACGACGAAAGGGGGTTTTGGCTTGCATAAATGAGAAGTCCACTTTCAGGTATGGTGGGATCCAGGGACTCGGTGCCATCAGAACTTTCTCTGTCCGTGCTTTGTTCTGTTTCCCTCTGTGCTGCTATTTCTCAGGCATCTTCTCCCTTTCTGATGGCAGGTGGCCCCCAGGAGCTCCCGGTGTACAACCTACCTCGTCAGGAGGTCTGCCTGCCTCTTATCAGCCCAGATTGGGTCACCAGCCCCTCCCTGAGCCAGTCACTGTGCCTGCAGGGCCTGGGCACGCTGACTGGCCACGTGTGAAGCTGTGGCTCAGCTTGGGGCAGCTAACCGATGTTCTGTCCACTCGCGTTCCCTGCCAGGGTGGGATTGTCCTTCCTGGCCTCTCCTGAGTGCCCGGCTGCCCAGTTCACCATGTCCCCCCTTCCTGGCCAGCTGTGCCCCTGGCACTCTGCCCACCACAGGCCTTATCTTTCTAAAGCATGTGGGGACTTAACTTGGTCCCCCAGGCAACCTGTCGAGTGCCTCTTACTTCTTTCTGACCGGCGGCCTTGCTAGCAGCTCTCTTGGGCCTCCTTGAGGAATGCCCCAGTCGCAGGGCCAGTGGGACCTTTTCAGAGGCCTCTTTTACCCCCTGTGCCCCCAGCAGTCCTCCCCTGACTGGGTGGCCAAATTGCTGTTGTAGTTGATCGGGTGGGGGACAGACTCTCTGGAGAAAAGAAGCTATTGTCTATAAAATTCACGCTGGGACTGTGTGTTCAGGACTTTCTTCCTTCTGTCTAACTTAAATCTGGCCTACTTCAATTGCAGCTTCTGGCTCTTGTTCTGCTCCACAACAGTCTGTGCCCTCCTCCTTCCCTCTGTCCTTCCTGTTCCAGTCACCCTACCCCTAGAACTTCCAGAACCTTCTTTATCCAGTCAGTTCTCCCCTCTTCTCAGCCTGTTCGGGTATTCCAGTCTCAGCTGGACGGTGGCCGATATTGCCTCCCTGGGCTTCCTGTCCACTCTGTCCCCATCACCCGTCCCCTCCCAGCATGGGGACGAAAGAATGATGAGATTTACCGGGAAGCAACGTCCTAAGAATTAAACAATCAGTTACAGCGAAATCTGTCCGCCTTTCTGTGACTACTTCGAAATCACGGTAGTTGAAAAAGCAGGGTCAGTGTCAGTGAACCCAAGAAAGCCCTGGATATGCTGGCCTCGAGGGAGGGGTCCCCGCTCTGCTGTGCTGACAGCAGTGGGATCTGCGCAGGGCTGTCCCCCGCCGTGTGACAGCCGGTCATGCTGGCGGAACACCGAGCTTGTGTTATTTTGCTTACCGCTCTTTGTCAGAGGATGCTTCCAGCAGAGATGCCTTCCTGACACTCAGATTCATTCCTGTCCCTCTCCGCTTCCCACCCTTCCGTGGCTCCCGGCCGGCACAGCACTGGACGTCTTAGCGTGGCGTCCTGCTAGGTCCTCCCTGCCCGGCCGCCATGGTGCCCCTCGTCACACCCTGACGCTCCGTCCCCTTGGGCCCTTCTCCAGCCCTTCCCAGGCTTCCGTGTCCAAGGGACGCCTGCTCTTCCCTCGGAGCCTGTTCCGAGGTGTCCCCTCCCCTCGGACACTGTGTCATGGCCCCAGCGAAGTTAGTGCCTTTGCATATCCTGGCGCCTGCCGCCCGCCTCGCGCCTGGGGGCCGTCTGAGGCGGTCTATGGGCCGAGCTCAGCCGTGGAAGCAGCAGAAGGAATTTCAAGGCCTTGAGTGCCTGTGAGAGCCCTGCCGTGTGTCTGTCTGTCTGTCTGTCCACTCTGAGTAAGTCCAGCCGGCTGAGCCAGGGTGTGTCGTGTCGTTTCAGCATCACCTTCTCCGTGCCGGAAGGGGCGCTGGTGGCCGTGGTGGGCCAGGTGGGCTGTGGAAAGTCGTCTCTGCTCTCAGCCCTCCTGGCTGAGATGGACAAGGTGGAGGGGCACGTGACCATCAAGGTAGGACAAAGGACCGGGGCACGGGGAATAGGGGGCTGGGCGGTGGCTGGCGGCCCGAGAGGAAGGTCAGGAATGCCGCTGGTTATTTTGTGACTGTCCCTGTGCCAGAATCTCGAGCAGCGGGGTCTCTCCCCTCCTCGTTCTCTTTCTGTCTGTCTCCCTCTCTCTCGTTCTTTCTCTTCTACCCTGTGCCATCCCAGAAGCAGGATTTTGGTATCATTTTTTTCCCTGCTGTGTCCCGGCACTTGTAGTAGTGCCTGGCGTGTAGCAGCTACTTAATAAGTATTTAGTAGACGCACGACCCCCCCCCCCCAAAACTCCTTGTGTCTCCTTCCCTCCCATCTCCTGCTGTCTCTGTGTGTGAGTCTTTCCGGCTTGTCCTTCCTCTTGATGGAGCTCTCTGTGTATCTCTTCTTTTAAATATAACACAAGTTAAAAGTTTTGATTTATGCAGTTGGAATATTTTCTTAGAGCATTTTTTTGATTTTAAGAGTGGTCATCAAACCTATCTACAGGAGGCTAAAAGAAGACTGTAGTTTTGTTACTTTTAAAATGCACAGAGTACTTGGAACTAAGTTGAAATTCCCCAAGAGTGAATTTAAGAGGTTGCTTTGCAGGTCAAGTCCCAATGGAAATCAAGAGGCTTGTTTTGCATTTAGTTTGTTCCCCATGAACGCTTTTTCCTCGCATTGAAAAACATGTTCCTGGAAGTTATGTTGACACTAGCCATTTCCTGGATTGTGGTCTGTAGCAAATTCATCTTGTAAGATATTTGGGGAATAAAGGGCCCCAGGCTCAAACAAACTTTCGAATAGTGCACAGTCTGGCTCCTTCCTTCTAGGAGATTTATAGCAAATATTAACGAAGGCCCTGAGAAGTCCTGCAAGGAGAGCAAACAACCATTTAACTTGGTTTAACCCTGCGTGGCCCTGACTTATTTGCCTGAACCTCTTTATGGTCTGTAACAGCAACTGTTTACACCCCCAGATCTACTGTCTCTTGGAATCCACTTTGGAGCATGCTAGTTAGTGCCGTTGTTTTTATTTCAGAGCAAAATCCTTCCTTCGTTGACTATATGGTGCCCTTTAGAAAGTGTATGTTACAGTGGTTGAGTCCAAACTAATGGCATTTCGCTGTTGTTTTAAGAAATGTTCTGTCATTACTTTCAAGTACCTGTTATAAAGTAAGACGAATGGGCAATGGGAGCTAGGTTAGGGAGGAAAATTCCAGATCACGGTGGGATGCACATTGCATTTGGTTTCATTAAGCCCAGGTTTTCACAGTCCCAGCACGACTGGCATTTTGGGCCAGATAACTATTTGTGATTGGTCGTTTCACCTCGGTAAAAGAAGTGCTAGGAATGTGTTTAAAATATTTTTTCCCCAAGTGTTTTAGTAAGCGTGGCTTGTGCTTCCCATGTCTGGGTTATCTGTGGGTTCTGTGGTGAGGCTTTGTGACGTTTTGGCCTCTTCTAAGTTAGGATGTTAGAGTCGGCAGTTTATTTGAGAATTCGGATTAAGAGTCAGGACCCCTGGGACCCACTGTCAGCCTCGCCCCCTTGAATTCTCTTATTTAGGAATCTTCAGTGGTTCCCCATTACTTGTCCGATAAAGCGCATGATCCTCACCAGGAGTGCTAGCCCGGTGTGAGCCCCCTGCCGCCCTCCGGCCCATTTCCTGCCTGTCATTCCCTCCCATGATCGGTCCATGTTCCCAATAGAGTGGCCATTCTCTTCCTTGCACGTGCCGAGTACGCCTTGTCCCTGGGCCTTTGCACGTGCTGTTCCGTGTGACTTGAAGGCTCTTCCCTCTTCGTGAGACTTACATCTCACTTTTCAGTCTTTGTCTAAAAAAAAAAATTTTTTTAGCGACGTCAGCATTTTTATTTCTAAAATACCCAAAGCAAGTATCCTCACCCCAGCTCCCATTCTCGTGCTATTCATGGCACCTTACGTTATATGGAAATAACAGCAGAGCAGCCTTTGAAATGGACCTGCTGAGATACGGAAGTCCTTGCTTGAATGTCACCAAGGAAGTTTCCTCAAGCAGTCCTTCCCTGGTGTCCCAATCTGGGTCAGACTTCTTAAACCTCTCATACGGTCTTCTCTCCCAGCATCTACCGCAGCTATAATCACATAGTTTCTTGGTCACATCGGGGACTTCCACTCTTTGGAAGTAGGGGTTTTTTTAACTCCTGACCCTGGAGTCAGTGATTCCCCTCGTGTGGCTTCTGATTCCAACTCTAGCATCTGTAGGTCTTTGTGACTCAGTTTCCTTCTTGTTAAAGCGGGAAAGTGTGGAGTTGTGTCCTGCTGGCGGGTGGGTGGGCTGGCTGCCGTCCTGTGGATCAAGTCTGTCTGTCTCATCTCCTCCTCCCTTTGCCACACAGGGCTCGGTGGCCTACGTGCCCCAGCAGGCCTGGATTCAGAATGACTCTCTCCAAGAAAACATCCTTTTTGGACGCCAGCTGCAGGAACGGTATTACAAGGCTGTGATAGAGGCCTGTGCCCTCCTCCCAGACCTGGAAATCCTGCCCAGCGGGGACCGGACAGAGATTGGCGAGAAGGTCAGTGCAGTGGCAGCATCGGCCCCTAGATCAGTCAGCCGTTGCTGTGTAACAAACAACCACAACAGCTCAGTGGCTCTGTCAGTCGACTGCAGTTGGCTGACCCAGGCTGGGCTCAGCAGGGCAGTTCTGCTCCATGCTTCAGGACAGCCGGGCTTGGCTGCAGGTGGCGGTTTGGCTCAGGTCCACCCTACATGGGTTCTTGCTGAGGTTTGGCCTGAGGGGGCAGCAGCTTCCCAAGGGTGAGCTCTTCTCATGGTAGCAGCAGAAGCCCAAGAAAGCCAAAAAAAAAAAAGAAAAAATGCAATGTCACGTAAAGCACACTGTCTCTTCCACACACACATCAAGTCACTTGTCCACAGCCAAAGGCAGGGGAGCAGGAGGTACATGCTACCTTTGTGGTGACATAGTTGCAAAGTCACGTGACAAGGGACATGCTATAGGGAGGAGGAGTATCTGATCCAAATGTCCACAGCACAGCCTCTGTCAGAACAGTGATAATAAAATAACAACACAGTTGCTAACACTTAGGGAGCATTTTATGTATGCCAGGCACTGTGCTTAACATTTTACATGGATTTCATCTGCAGCAAGCCCGTGAGATGAGATTTTTTGTTACCCCACTTAATGGTTGAGGAAAGGGAGGCACAGAGAGGCTAAGTAACTTGCCTGAGGTCACACAGCCACAGAGCTGTAGAGAGAACATGGCTGCTGCATCCATGTTCTTACCTGCTACATTTTGTCACCTCTAAGGAGGGCCATTCTCTGTTCCTGTCAGCCCTCCCACCCCAGCCCCCCCTCTGCTGCCTTTCCATCCCCCAGACCATTCCTCAGCAGCCCCAGCCCCTGCCCACGAGCAGGCTTTTGCAGGTGCCTTTGCCTGGCCACCTCGCTCTGGCACCCCCTAGTGGCTGTCTGGTGTTTCAACCTTCTTGGAAGACCAGGAATGCAAGGAGCTTGCTTGTTTCCTTTTAGTTACAAACTAGTGTGGCTCCACAAGCTTTTGGATTCACTGAATGGTTTTTTAAAATTGAGGCAAATCTATAGTTCCTTGGAAAGAAAAGACAAACTGTTAGTAGGGGTCTCTGGGTTTGCAAAGGAGCTTGAGTTTGTGTAAGCAGAAAATGAGAACTGGGTTTAAGGGTGTAGGTGATTCTTATGGACTCCAAGGGCTGGAATGTAGTGGGTCAGGCAGGGGCTGGGATGGGCAGCCTGGTGCCTGCTCTTTTTTGTCTCTCCTTTTCTGCACATTAGCTTTGTGCCTTTTTTTTTTTTGACAAGTGTTTGTTCCTGGCACTTGGGGATTCCTGACTGTCCCTGTACTGGAATCTGGAGGGAGAGACTCTGATTGGCCTATCTTGGGTCCAGTGTTTGCCCCTGGGCCAATAAGCTATGGCCTGAGGGCCCATCAAGGGAACCTGGCTGCTAGGACTGCTTTGATGCGTGGGCGGGAGGGCAGGCATCCCTCGGGAGGGGGAGTTAACCCAGTGGGTGTCCACTGTGATTGCCCAGCCAGATAAGGAAATGGCATTTAGTTATCCGTCACTGGGGCTTAGGGGAGGGCACTGCTGGTCCTGGTAGTGCCCTTCCTCCTGGAGAGTGGGGCCTGGGCTGAATTTCAGTGCCCCCAGGGTAGGTACTGCCTGGAGTCTGTGTGGCTTCACCAGGGAATGATAGATCCAGAGTAAGCTGGCAGAAGGCGTCGGCTAGTAACCATAGCAGCAGCAACAAGAATAATATCATTATCTCATCCACCCGTGCCTTGCATCAGACTAAAAGATCAGGCACCTTCCCTGTAGCCAATGTTATTCAGTGCTATAGGCACCCTTCGTTGAGTGCTCAGTATGTGCTAGGTGCCCTGTCCTGCAACTCACAGGAGACTCAGGTTTTCTCTTTTGCCCATTTTACAGATGGGGCTAAACCCCGTGCCATGGTCCCATCCCTGGTTGTGCTGGAGCTGGGACTTGAACCTATGTCCGTGCAGGTGTAGCCTATGTCTTTAGTCTCACAGGCCTGCAGGGCCTCCAGCCTGGGTCCACGGCCTCCCAAGCAGGGCGGGCTCTTGGGCGGCTCTGCTACGTTTCTTGATTCTCAAGGTGTTCCAGGAAGCCCACCCCTCTGCCCTGTCTCCCCCAGGGCGTGAACCTGTCTGGGGGCCAGAAGCAGCGCGTGAGCCTGGCCCGGGCCGTGTACTGCAACACCGACGTTTACCTCTTCGACGACCCCCTCTCGGCGGTGGACGCCCACGTGGGAAAACACATATTCGAAAACGTGATCGGCCCCAAGGGGATGCTGAAGAGCAAGGTACCTGCTGGCGGGGCAGGGCGCGCGCGTCAGGCTGTCCTCTCTTCGGTGTAGTTGGAACATGCCCCCTTTAGGAATCCTTTGCCTTGCTCGCTTTTTTTTTTTTTTTGGTTTTCAATTGGACTTTAGGAACACCTTTCTCATGTTTCCCTTGGAAGCCTTCCCAAGACAGCCGCCTCATACTTGTCTTTATAGGGGTAAGTCCTCGGCACGGACTTGAATTCGTTGCCTCCTCTTGGCCAAAGAAGGCCTCTCTGTCCGGTTCCGTCACGGGGCTGGCTTCCCGGAGCGGAATCCCACCTCGCCACCTCTGGCGACTGCGCAGGCTGCACTCCCCCTGGGCCGAGGTGGCCGCGGGTGGAGGGATGGGAGGCTGGAGCAGGAAAATCGCCACGGCACCTTAACGTGACAGCAGACAGTCGCTGTGTTTTCGGGGTGATCGGTGGTGGCGGGGTTGGTTCCCTTTTTTTTTTCCTGAGTAGAAAACTAGCAAGTGCCCATGGGGGAAATACAGATTAGGAAAAAGGAAAACAGAAGAAATCAAGTACAATCCCAACAGTTAGAGATTTTGTTTTTCCTTCAAGCCTTTTTGCTCTGCGCATAAACTTTTAAAATAGTGTCATGTCGTTATCCGTACATGTGCAGGAGGCATCGTGCTGCCCAGCCTGTCGTGAGCATGCCCGTGCCCATCACAATTCTGTACAAGCGTAACTTTTAAGTAGTAAAAAAAATATTTTGTGACGTTATCAAAGTAATACTTGCCAAGGGCAGCAAAATCAATGCATATAAAAAAATATACACACAGTAAATAAAATAGTCCTTCTTCATCCTGCACCCCTGATTCTTCTCTTGAGAGCAGGGGTCGGCAAACCTGGCCCACCGCCTATTTTCGTGTGGTTCTTGAGCTAAGCACGGCGTTCACGTTTTTATGTGGTTGGAAGAAATCTGAAGAATATTGTGTGACCCATGGAAATCGCATTAAATTTAAATATCAGTGTCCACAGATGAAACTGTGCCGGAACACAGCCCGCTCACGCCTCTCGGTGTGGTCTACGGCTGCCTCCCTGCTGCGCTTCACTGTTGCCATGGCAACCGTAAGGCCCGTAAGGCCGACAGTATTGAGCGTCTGGCCCTTTAAGAGAAAAATCTGACTTTTATTAGTTTGATGAATGTCTTCCCAAACTTTCAGATCTGCAGATAAAATATACACATCTGTACAAATTTTTTTTTTTTTTACTGGTTTTTGGGATGGCAGGGAAGGGGAGTTGCTTTAAAAAAAATTAGGTTATTGCATACACGTTGTCTTGCAGCTGTGTCATTCTTTTATTCATACACCTGTGTGGTTCCCTCCCTTCATCCCGTCTTTCACCCGTCACCCTTGTTAAAATGGAGCCCCCCACCCCGCCCCCGTTGTCCGGATGCTTGTTTCCCCTCTTTGCTGCATCTTCCCCTTCCAGCGCAGTTTACTTCTCTTGTTCATTTCCCCCCAACCCTGGCATCTGGGCCCGGGGGTGTTGTCACTTTTGCTCCCTGCCGCGTCCCCAAGCGCTCAGCACGGTGCCTGCTGCCTGACGGGGCCCCCGGCACGCGTGTGGCAGGGACGCACACGCAGACTCAGCCGCTGCCGTGTGCTGTCATTGCAGATGCGTGTCGCGCCCTGGACCCAAGTTCCACCCTCGCAGGTGTTCGCTCCTTCCTTCCGCGCTGAGCCAGGCTGCTCACGCGTGTGCGTGACACGGCTGGGTCTCCCCTTTGCCCACAGACGCGGGTCCTGGTCACACACGGCATCAGCTACCTGCCGCAGGTGGACGTCATCATCGTCATGAGTGGCGGCAAGATCTCCGAGATGGGCTCCTACCAGGAGCTGCTGGCCCGGGACGGGGCCTTCGCCGAGTTCCTGCGCACGTACGCCCTCGCGGAGCAGGAGCAGGCCTCGGAGGACGACGGTGAGGGCGGCCTTGGGGTTCCTCCCGCTCGCGGGGCGCCGCGAAGGGCCATATTTGCCTCTCGGAAGTTGCCACCAGCCGTGCTGGGAAGGCGGCTCACCGGGGCACTAGGGTGGGCACTGGGCAGCCCCGCCAGGAGCCAGCTGGGAGGGCGTCTTACCCTTCCGTGCGTCCCACCCAGGCCTCAGGGCAGCCGGCCCCAGGGCACGCCCTGGTGCTTTCCTGCCATGCGGCCTCGGCCTGCAGAGCTTCAGGGTCTTCATGACAAAAAACGGGGACTCTCAGAGGCTGAGAGAAGCCGAGGACATGTGTGACTCAAAGCAGATGTGAGAGTCGGGAGGCGAAGCCAGCGCTTCAGACTGCAGGCTCGGAGTTGGGACCTGGGTTCAAATCCCACTGGTCTTTTTACCAGCTGTGAGACCTCAGGCCTGGCCTTCAGACCCCTCTGAGCCCCAAAGATGTATAACAGCAGAAACAGCTATCTGGCATTTGGTGTAGATTGAATATGATTATTATGTCCGTGCAGCCTTTGGCACGGTGCCTGGTACTTCCTAAGGTTCAGTAAATGATAGCAGTTATTGTTCCTACCCTGGGAAGGGTGACGTGTCCCTGGCACCTGCCGGGTCACAGTAGGCTGGGACTCTGAAAGTGGGGAGTCTCGGAGGTGCCCGTTGAGTCTCTGCAGAATTCTGGGCCGGGACCTCACCTTGACCTTATTTGGAGCAAATGGGGTGAAGTCCTGAGAACCCGCTTCTCAGGTGGTTTCAAGTTCAAGGGGTTGGTTTGCAGCTTCTCAGGCTGCTCAGTGTTCCTGGGTCACACTAGCATGTCAGAAGATGCTCTGCTCTGTCCCTTCTGCGAGCTTTGACCCGTGTTGATGTGCGCACGGAACAGATCGTCTGACCCTTTTTGGGGCCCCAGAGGACCCTATCTGTGGTCTGGGGCACCCTGCTATGGTTTCAGCTATTGCTAAAAAGATCAGAACTTAAGAGAGGTCACCTGTCCTACTTTGCTCTCCCTCTTCTAGGAGCTAAGTACAGGCTCCCCGGGCCTGTGGGGTGGGGTGTGATTGTTACATATTTGGTCCCCAAACAGGGCTCAGATGGACGGACTGTCCTCCAGGTAGGCTCCCGGGCTGTCCCATCACATAACTGCCGTGGGCACGGTTGACGTCACAGTCTGTGAATGGGGTCCCCAGGGTTGTGCCACATGGCAGGCCCATGGGGCTGTGCCAGGGACTTTGGGATTGCCAAGAAGAAGCTGTTGACTGTTCATGTTCCCAGTCCTTCAACGGGGACTTACCGAGCACCTGCTGTGTGTTAAGTCCTTGCATTATTTTCCTAGGGCTGTTGTAGCTAAGTGCCACAAATGGGGTGGCTTAAACAACAGAAATGTTTTGTGTCACAGTTTTGGCATCCAGAACTGATAAGATCAAGGTGTCAGCAGGGTTGGTTCCTTCTGAGGGCTGTGTGTCTGTCCCAGGCCTCTCTCCTGCTGCGGGTGGTTTGCGGCAGGCTTTGGCACTCCCTGGCTCTTGGAGGCATCGCCCCACTCCCCGCCTTCACGGTCCCGTGGCGCTCTCCCGTGTGCGTGCCTGGCCCCAGGTTTCCCCCCGTATAAGGGCACTGGTCATATTGGATTAGGGAGGGTCCCAGGGGCCCAGCATGCTCCAATGTGACCTCATCTTAGCTAATTACATCTTCAATGACCCTGTTTCCAAATAAGGTGACATTCCGAGGTGCCGCAGGTTAGAGTTTCAACGTGTGCATTTGGCGGGGGAGGGGAGCATAATCCAACCCAAAACAGTCCTGTTGCAGGTTTGGGGGAGATAACATCGCACAAGTTACAGGCAAATCCCTGTCTTCATGGACCTTAGAATCTAGTGGGCAAAAAAGACAATAAACAAATGAACAGCTAAAGATGGCTTCAGATCGCCTTAAGTGCCGGGAAGACAAAAACGACAGCACCCTGCGCTGCGGAGGGATGGATGCATGGTGGCAGCTCACACAGGGTGGTCAGGGAAGTCCTGTCTGGGGAGGGGACGTTGACATGGCAAGGAGAAGATCCGGGAACAGTGTTCTAGACACATGGAACAGCAAGCGCAAAGGCCTCAGGACCAGTGTGAGCTGTGCATGTCTAAGAGACGAGGAGGCCAGTGTGGCCAGACCACGGCGGGCCAGGGGTGGGGGGAAACTGAGGTCAGCAGGGTGATCGTCTTCCAGGGAGGAGTTGGGTTTTGGTCTAAGTGCGGTGGGAAGTCACTGACTGTCAGAAAGGGGAAGTGACAGGCCTGAGGGCACACAGCGGCTGCTGGTGGGGTTGGCACCTCTAGTCTGGTCTCAGTTTCCTGTCCTCGGCTCCTTCAGTGGTCTCTGAGTCTGCTCTTTGGTGGCAGGTTCACAACCCTCAGTTAGGAGTTCCGCTGCAGGAGTCCCAGTGGTTCTCAGTAAGTGCTTTATTGAGATATAATCCACATACCATACCATTCGCCCATTTAAACTGTACAATGAGCGATTGTTAGTGTATTCACGGAGTTGTGCAGCCGTCACCACAATTTTAGAACATTTTCCTCACCCCCAAAACAAACCCATTAGCAGTCACTCCCCATTTTTCCCCAACCCCCAAGGCAACCGCTACACTACTTTCCGTCTCTGTAGATTTGCTTATTCTGGACATTTCGTATAGACGGAATCATCTCACATGTGGAATTTTGTGACTGCTTCTTTCACTTAGCGTGATGTGTTTAAGGTTCACTGGTGTTGTAGCTTCATTTCTTTTTATGGTTGAGTAATATTTCATTGTATGGATGTACCACATTTTGTTTCTTATCTATAGAAGGACGCTTGGATCGTTTCTACTTTTTGACTATTATGAATGATGCTGCTGTGAGTCCTGGAGGTTTTAAAAGAGTTTGTGTGTTTTGCCAACATGTGATGGTCGACATTCCCTAAAGCTTTTGAGTTCTCTGCTTTCAATGAGTTTCTGCACGTCCATGCCTTTGCGGTTGGAAAGTCTGCCTTCGGTCTAGCCTGTTTCCTCTTGCTGCAGAGTCTCCTTGCCCCATCTCTTAGCTATGGCGACTTCTCCATCACTGTATTTCACTGACCTGCGTGGTGGGGCTACCTTTAGGCGAAAGTAACCCTCTGGGCTTTTTAAATCAACAGGTATGGGTTTAACTGGATCTCTTCCCCAGATCGAGCTGTCTCTCCCCCTCGCTTTTCCATCCAGGTGAGCCAGGAATGTCCTTAAACTCTCTTGGCCTCAGATGGGCTTTTCCCCCTGCCTTTCTGTCCGGCCGCCAGCATATCCAACACAGTTTATACAAAACACAGAATGCTGCCAGTTTCTTTATTATTTTTTGTGCACATCAGCATCTAATTTGGTGATGAAAATACCACCCACCGCACTAGCACCTCTGGGTTCAGCCGCCTGCCTCCTGCCAGGCGGGGCGCTAAGTCCTTGGCCTGTGGGCCTTCAGTCTAACTGGGCAGCCCCCCTCTTTTTCCACCTCTCTGGAGGAGCCCCGTCTATAGCATCTTGGCATTAGGGTCTAGTCTTGCTCAACTTCAGCCAGCTGTCAGCGCCAATGACCTTGGATTTGTTTGAACCACATTTTTGGCTGCTCGTAAAGGGTAACATTTTTTCCTTGTTGGATTAATCAGGTCTTTTTTTAGAACACCCAGGCCGCAGCGGGGCGAGGGGTACGCAGCTTGGGAGGAGTCCTTCTCGTGGGGGTGGGGAAGGGAAGCCATACAGGGGCCAGGCTCGTGGATGGGGAGACGCTGACCCCTCCCCCGGCAACATTTAGTGTCCTGATTTCTAGGAAATCTACTCTTTTTTTTTTTTTTTTTTTACTTTTCTGGATGGCAAAGAAGGTGAAAAAACATTTTTGTGACTCTGGTTTCTTTTTTCAGAAACCTAAAAGCTGTAGCAGTAGTGAATTTTCAATGGGGAGCCAGTTTGCCCCCCACCCCTTGGGGGGGATGTTTGGCAACATTTGGAGACGTTTTTTGGCTGGCGCAGCTGGAGCCGGGGTTGCTACCGGCATCTGGTGGGGAGAGGCCGGCGGGGTTGCTAAACACCCGCCAGAGCCCCGGGCGTCGGGAACGCGGAAAGAGGGAGCCGTGACTCCACGCTGCCCCGAGTTCTTCCTGGTCATCTTGGAGAAGGGCCTTTATTCCCTCCATGTGGCCGTTTTTCAAAACTTTGCTGAAACCATCTCTCAACCTCGTGACAAACATTTGCCACTCAGTTTTTTGCTGAGTTTTTTTTTTTTTTCTTACTGGTTAGAACATCAGTATGTGCTCGTCACAGACAAGTGCAAACTGCAGAGGAACGTTAAGAATCAGGGCAAAGAACATCCTTCTTGCTCTCCCACCACCTGGAGGGCGGCCGCTGTTGGCGCAGGCGTCTCTTCCACCTGTCCTTCCTTCTGCGCCCTGTCCCTTGATGTAACTGAGATCACCTTGTACAGTTTTCTCGTTTCTCCTCCTGACTCCTCTTTAACACCGGACCATAGGCACCTCCCCACGTCGCGGAGTTTGTCGGAGCGCTGAACAGCCACCGGAGAGTTGCCAGAGAGTTGGCAGATGGCACATTCCTTCTCGCTGTCCTCAGTGGCCACATTTCTTCCTCTTTTGAGGACGGAGGACTTTCAGAGCTGCAGGAGAGGAGGTGGGGTGATGCAGCCAGGCAATTCCGTGTTTGGTCAAAAACGAGGCATCGACTGTAAAGCAGCGAGTTGCATTCTTCCCTCAAGGGAGGCCGACCTGCTGGCCCTTGCCCAAGCAGAGTTCCAGAACCTTCTAGAGTCACGGTGGTGTTGGTGGAATAAACAGCGAGCCTCCTGAGGTGCCCGCGCCGGGGCTGGCAGCTGAGTGCACAGACCAGAGGCAGCACTTGTGTGGTTCAAGGGGAGGGAGGACACCTGAGTTGTCAGCGTCAGAGACCCGTCACTTGGGTGACCTGTCACCTGGGAGGACTCAAGGGATATTCATTGACTTACAAGTCGCATGCATTGCCTTAAAAAAAGAGAAAAGGAATTCTTAGTATTTTACAGCATTCTGTACTCTGCCTGGCCTCCCACCCCCAATTCATTTCTCCTTCCCCTGCCTCTTTGTGGCATTATCGCCACCTGACAGTAAATTATAGATCTGCTCGTTTCTCTGTCGTCTCTCTCTTCCCTTGGAATTTTAAGCTCCTTGAGGGCCTTTTGGTTACTTCCGCCTCCCCAGAACTGAGAACAGTGGCTGACACATAGTAGACACTCAGTAAACATGTTAAATGAGCGAGTGAATGATTTGCACCTTGATTAAAGCTTGCTCCGCATAAGCAGTCTGTAGGTGAAAAGGCTTTGGATCCTCACACAGCTGCATAGATATCCCAGATTAGAAGAAAATAGGAGCCGATTTTACCTATTTCTGTCAGGGCTGGTTTAGGAACCAGCTTTGTAGGTATGGGCGGTGGCAGGGCGCCGCCGCGGCTGATGAGAGCCCCTTCTGGTATTGGAGAGTCAGCTCTGCTTGTCCACGCACCGTCCGCTTGTCAGTCTGTCCATCTGCCCGCCAGGTGTGCACAGAGTGCCTGCTGCGTGCTGCAGGGCCACCTGGCACGTGAGCCACCATGTGGGATGGCGCCTCCCCCGCGAGTTACGCAGTGCGCATCCTGTATAACTGTACATGGCAGCCTGGGGCGCCAGGTGCTGGGGATAGAGTGGAGGACAAGACCCACCCTGTACCCTTGAGAACTGGCGGTCTGATGGAGAAGATGAGCACTGAGTACTCAGGGACATCATGGTGCTAAATGCGGTGATGGAGGGGTGCCTGAGGGCCTGTGAGAGCCCAGGGAGGGGTCCCCATCCCAGCGAGGGAGGGTCCAGGACGACATCTGAGCCATATCACCTTCTCTTCCCCTTGTCTTGGCTCCATGCGCAGCTGGCTCGGTGTAAGCTTCCGTGGGGCAGGGGGACCTTTAATAACCCGAGTCTGTCCTCGAAGAACTAAGGCTACGGGCTGGAGCCGGGGCCCCTGTCCCTCCTGGTGTCACGCTTGCCCTCCCTGCTGGAGGGCTGTATTTCTTTCCCTCTGCTGCCATGAAGACAGAAGGTGGATCTACGTCGCTTTTCTAGCTCTATTTATGTTTAAACACTGTTACAGCCGGGCGCGGTGGCTCACGCCTGTAATCCTAGCTCTCTGGGAGGCCGAGGCGGGCGGATCGATCAAGGTCAGGAGTTCGAAACCAGCCTGAGCAAGAGTGAGACCCCGTCTCTACTATAAATAGAAAGAAATTAATTGGCCAACTAATATATATAGAAAAAATTAGCCGGGCATGGTGGCGCATGCCTGTAGTCCCAGCTACTCGGGAGGCTGAGGCAGCAGAATTGCTTGAGCTCAGGAGTTTGAGGTTGCTGTGAGCTAGGCAGACGCCACAGCACTCACTCTAGCCTGGGTGACAAAGTGAGACTCTGTCTCAAAAAAATAAATAAATAAATAAAAATAAACACAGTTACGACTTTTTGAGAAAGGGGTCGGTCTCAGGCAGTGTCAGGGATCCACCCAGCATGTGTGGGACGGGGAAACTGAGGCACGAATGGAACAGACTCGTCAGCCATCCTTGCCCCTCTCCCCTTCAGAGAAGCTGGCCCGGTCGTTCCCTCTGGGCATTTAGATGGGGCTTGGGGAGGGGGTTTGCCTCGGTTCTTAACACTTTCTTGGTTCTTGTGAATTCCCAGGCAGCCAGGTGACAGACTCGGAGGAAGAAGGTCAGTAGCGCCTGGGCTGGAGCGGGCTGCGCCACCGTAGAAGCAGAACGCAGACTGATCTGCAGTGCCGCTGCATGCCTGGGGCGGGGGTGGGCCCTAGAGTGGCTGCATAGTCTCCCCTTCCGGTGTTCATTGGTTCAGTCAGCAAACGCTTAGCAGGCGCCTACTTTGTGCCAGGTGTTGTGGGTGGCACTGGGCGGGCAGTTTGAGTCTCCAGGTCTCCCACTCACCGCCTAGTAACATTAGCTAAGCGTTACTATTTCACGGTCACATTACCATGATCCCAAAGGGGACGGCGGTTGTGAAATGCCTGGCACACAGTAGGCGGACGATATATGGCAACGGTTAGATGCAAGATGCCACCCACGCGTCCTGGGCCGAGACAGTGCAGGGTGATCGTTGCCTGTTGAGGAGTGCGGGTGGCGGCCAGGGCCCGGAGGAGAAGGGGTAGGGGTGTCCTCTAGCGGAACCGCAGCAGCCAGAGAGGACCCAGCCCTCCTGCCTTCGGTGACCAGCAGCGTGTGGCTGAAGGTCCTGGCTGAGGCTCCGTTGCAAATGACAGCAGCCGACCGCGGCCACTAAACAGAGAAGGGCGATCGCTGGAAGGATAGCGGGTAGCCCAGGAATCAGAGGCAAAGCTGAGCAAACAGGACTCAGGAAGTGGGAGCTCCGGGAATCCAGACAGACTCTTTCAGGACAGATGAGCTGTCTTTGGTCCCTGTAGACCACGGATGTTGGTTCAGGGTCCTGGGAGAGGGCTCTGCTGGGGCGACCTCAGGCAGGCGCCTCCTTGGCTGGGGGAGCCCGGGGTGCTGATTGACAGGCTGTAGGGAAGAGGGGAGAGCTGGTTCCTGCAGAAGGCCGACAGGATGGTGGACCAGCTGATGTTCATGTTCTCCCTCTTAGACTCTCAGTTCTCCTCCTTGCAGGGTAGAATTTTCCAGCTGCCCCCATTGGAATATCCTCCTGTTCCAGCAGGTGGGCTGATCGGTGGGCTGCGCAGGCCACCATGGAAGAGCTAGTCAGGACCTGGTGGTTTGCGCTCGTGATGAGCAGGGGAGAAGGGAGGCGGAAGCTTACAGGAGGGCGCTGGGGCTGCTGAGTTAGCTGGGGCGGAGAGGGGCTCTCTGCAGCGTGCCACCTGCAGGACAGGGGTCCCCAGAGTGTCCTGCAGCATCCGGTCCCTGCACAGAGAAAGGTAGCTAAGGCCAGGCCTGGCTTCCAGCGTCATGCATGTGTACGAGTACCGGCTGCATGCGGCTACGTGGAAAGTCCTGCTTGTTATCCCCCTTCCTGAGTGATGTGGCTATTTTTGTTTTTTTTTTTTTATAATTAAAAACAAAGATGCTGATATTAAAGGGACCGTTTGAAGCAGTGGTTCTCAATCCTACCTCTGCCCCAGAATTATCTGTAGAACATGTCTCTAAATGCACGTGACAGTAAGTACCACAAGGTTGCTGTCGCCAGGCACTCGCTGCACTAAGCACTGCCAGTGGTTCGCCCTCCTGCTCGCGAGGGTAGAGTCTGCTGCTGTTCCCGTTTTGCACATGTGGTCATTGAGGCTCAGAGAGGTTTATCACGCCCCCCCAAGGCACATAGCTAGGCATTGTGAAGACACCTGCATCCCAGTTACCTGACTGCATTCTAATTCAGTCACTGCAGGGCCGGGGCCAGACAAGCACCTGGGTGATGCACCCATGGCTGACATGGAGGATCCCTGGCTGGGAGCACCTGCCCCCACAAACCTGCCCCCACGCCAGGGCCGATCCCCTGCCCCTCCTTCCCTTTCTGTCTGTCTGTGTCTCCTGGCCGCTATCCCCTGAGGGAGCTGTCCTTTCTGGAGTCTGCTTTTTTTTTTTGAGACAAGAGTCTCACTTTTTCGCTCAGGCTAGAGTGAGTGCCATGGCATCAGCCTGGCTCACAGCAACCTCAAACTCCTGGGCTCAAGAGATCTTCCTGCCTCTGCCTCCCAAGTAGCAGGGACTACAGGCATGCGCCACCATGCCCGGCTAATTTTTTTCTTTTGTATATATATTTTTTAGTTGGTCAATTAATTTCTTTCTATTTTTAGTAGAGACGGGGTCTCACTCATGCTGGTTTCGAACTCCCAACCTTGAGCAATCCGCCCGCCTCAGCCTCCCAGAATGCTAGGATTACAGGCGTGAGCCACCATGCCCGGCCTGGAGTCTGCTTTTATTCACATCACATCAGGGTGTTCTCAGGGTCACCCTGACTGACTGCAGGCTGCGTGTTTATCCCCTTCGTGCCTTCTGTTCCCACCTCCCAGGGAGCCAGCCCTTTGGTGCCCAACTTGAGCTGTCCTCTCTCCTGTTGCCAAGGAGCGAGGACATCCGTGCAGAGTGGGAGAATGACAGTGCAGCACTGAGTCGTGGAGGTGAAAGGACTTGATCCGTCTCCACACAGCACGGTGCCTGACGCTTGCTTAGCGCTGTCACCCTCGGTGATGTCCTGGCGCTGATCCCTGGTGCCGGGTGGCTTCTTCCTGGAGTTGGGGCCAGCAGCCAGCTGGTGCCTCCCACGGTGGCTTCTCAGGGTCTCTCCTGAGTCCGCACCCCAGGGGCCGCCAGGGCTGGGGTCTTACCTGTGACGCATTTGGGGAAGGGCCCACTTCCAGGTTCACATGGTGGTTCAGATATCGAAGCGCTTCCGTATTAGTGGGGAAGCAGCCGCTGCCAGGGACCCTAGCCTGGATTCCCGAGACCTCCCCGTGATCCAGCAACAAGAGGGTTAACTCCTGGCACCACAGGGCCCCTGGGCCTCTTGTTGGCTGACCCTTTTGTCATATTGAGTATTTATTTAGAGTATCACTCCCACTTGGGATGCGTGGGGACTAGCGGGCTACGTCCCGTCCCGTGTGGGTCCTTGCATCCCAGTCCTGCTAGCACAGCTCGATGCCCACATACTGTGGGCAGAGTGGGGTGTTCCCCCTCGCCGCTGGCGCGGGCCACCTGCTCAGCCCCGGTGCCCTCAGCTGACGGGACCCTCTAGACAGTTGCAAAGCGCCATCCCTGCCCCACGGGACCTGGCTCCAGAGATCACCTGCCACCCCAGTGGTGCCACGGCTTGCGGCCTCAGCAGAGCAGGCCTGTCTCTCTGACCTGGCGGCCAGCTTGACTGCTGTGCCGTGACGGTTTTCCCTGCCTTTGGCTTCGGCAGCTGGCTCCTGAAACCCCCATCGCCCCTCTGTCTCTCCCTTTGCCACCAGGGATGACGGGCGTCAGCAGTCCGGGGAAGGAGGCCAAGCAGATGGAGAACGGCGTGCTGGTGACGGCCCCCGAGGGCAGGCAGATGCAGAGGTGCGTGGCGGGGGGAGGCCTGGTCCCGGGGACCCTGCCCCGCCCCCCAGGGGTGCCAGCCTCGAGGCCTGATGCACCAGAAGAGGCCTCAGCTCCCCAGGGGTCCGGGCAAGGTGGGCGTTCTGCCTCCCCTCCCGCACCCTCCTCGGGTCCCACTTTTCAGAATGCAGAGGCCCAGAGGGGGAGCCGGGCACCGTCCCTGCCGGGGGACGTCACCTTTCCCTGGGGACTCGCAGCCCTGGGCAGTGACGTGGGGTGTGCGCACATGCGTGCACGCGTTCGCATGTGTGCTCGCAAGTGCGCTCGAGGGAACACGTCCTCTCACCGCCGGCCCTGCTCCAGGTGTCCGAGCGGCTGACACCCTGTGCTTGCTTCCCCAGGCAGCTCAGCAGCTCCTCCTCCTACAGCGGGGACGCCGGCCGCCACCACGGCAGCGCGGCCGAGCTGCAGAAGGCCGGGGCCAACAAGGAGGAGACCTGGAAGCTGATGGAGGCGGACAAGGCTCAGACCGGGCAGGTGAGGCCCGGCTGCCAGCACCGTGCCGGCGACCCAGTTCTCGGGCGCGCTGTGTGCCGGGCGGCGCGGTGCGCATTGTCCGTGTTAACTCGCGTGTCGGGCACACCCAGCTTGTGCACGTACAGCACCGGGAAACCGAGGCCAGAGAGGCTAAATGACTTACCCAGGGTCGTGGCTGGTGAGGGGCAGAGCTGGGATTTGAACCCCTGCTGTCGGACTCCAGCTTTGGCACTTGCAGTCTCTGCTCTACTGGCTGCCACCTGGCTTCGAGCAGCTCTGCGGCTCTCCTTAGCTGTAGGCAGCCCGGGTACTTTAAATCAGTCGTGCACAGACAGCGCTAAGGACACTGAATGGAATAGAAGAACATTTTTGTGTCTTTTTCATTTCTCTTTTAGTCCGAATGATGACATCCTGAGACAGTCTCAGCTGGGTGCTGGCCTGTCTTTGATACCTAACAGCTGCTAGCCTCTCTTTGTAACACATAGAGCAGGTTTCAGCCTCTTGTTTCATTGTATTTTTTTTTTTAAAGATCATCTATTTTGGGCAGGTGTCTGTAATTTTCCATTTAGGGTAGTGATCCAAAGTTTATTTTTAAAAATAAATGTGGTTATGTTAAAAAAGAAAAAAAAAGGGAATGGGGCTTTTAAAATAAGTAAAAAATAAACACACAAGGTGGTAGCGCAGTGAGTGAGGTTGGCGCTTTCTCTTACGCCCCCCGGGTTGTGTCCAGAGCTTCCCGGGCCCTCTGCTCCCGGCTTCGCCCATGTCCTGTCGTCACAGCCAGGGCTATGGCCAGGGGCAGAGGTGACCGCAGTGTCCCCTCTCACCTTGCTCTTATCCCCCAGGGAGCCAGGGAAATGACCCCACATCAAGGATTTGGGAAGGGAGGGGCAGAGATGGCAGGCTTGTTTAATCCTCACCTAGTCTCCAGAGGAGACGGGTCCCAGCCTTGTCCCCACGTCATAGACGAGGAACACTGGAGCCAGCGGGCTTGTCACTTGTCGGAGTCAGAGCAAGAGTGGGGCCAGGCTCTGCCCACGCGGCCATCTCTGACCCCTGCGCCCTCCACGTTCACTGCACGTGAGGAAGGGTCCTCCGGGGACGAGTTTGGGGACAGCAGGCGGCTTGGCTGCACGGTGAAGCCACATGGAGAAGTAAACGTGCTGTCACGTCCGCCTGCCGCCCAGCAACTCCAGTTTCCAGAACCGAGACTTGAAAATCCAAAGGAAGCATCAGTTGTGCAAGTTAGGATCAGACCTGCGGTCTTCCACCTTTACTCCCCGCCGGGCTGTAGAGTGAGATGGTTCTCATGACCCACGGTGCACGTGGGAAGCTCGCCAACGCGCGCAGACGCGAGGACGGGTACCGGAGACTGTCGCAGCCGAGCCCGGTGGTCTGGGCGGGCGCTGACCCGAGAACACGGCATAGTCTCCGGCATCGGGCCGTTCTCGGCCTTCCTCCGGGGTCGTGCCCGTGTCTGGGTGACGGTTTGCTGGCAGCTGGGAGCTCCACGAGGGCAGAGAGCTCGACTTTGTTCACTGCTGACTTTGCTGAATGTGTGGCGGGGCGGGGCGGGGGTGTTCCAGGCAGGGGCATCGCGGGCCGGGCCGGGCCGCACCGCCGCTGTGGGGGCCCCGACTGGGCGCGCCTGACCCGGCGCCTTCCCTCCCGGGCCCGCAGGTGAAGCTGTCCGTGTACTGGGACTACATGAAGGCTATCGGGGTGTTCATCTCCTTCCTGAGCATCGTCCTCTTCCTGTGCAACAACGTGGCCGCCCTGTCCTCCAACTACTGGCTCAGTCTCTGGACCGACGACCCCATCGTCAACGGGACCCAGGAGCACACGAAGCTCCGCCTCGGCGTCTACGGAGCCCTGGGCATCTCGCAAGGTGGGCGCCGCCCCCCACCCCACCCCACCCGCATTGGGCCCCTGCAGTCGCTTCGTGTCCCATGATAGAGCTGGGTCCCCGGAGTCCTCGGGGTTCTGTGAACCCCCAAACCAGGCCACACCCAGCTGAACACGTAGACACTCAGATACTCGTGGAAGGAACGTTTGTCGAATGCTTTGTTCGTGGGGCCCCGGGAGGGGCAACGGAGGAGAGCTTAGTGTGCCCATTTTACAGACGAGGCAGGTTGAGGGCAGAGGCCACTGGGAGGCCCGTGAGTTTATTCCTTGCCCCTGTTTATTCGTCAGGGTGACAGAGCTGCTGAGGTGTCTCGTCTGTGGAGATTAGTTTATAGTTGTAGTTGTCGGCCGTCGGCAGTGTCGGCCTCCAGGGGATGTACGCGTGACAACATCTGGAGATAATTCTGGTTGTAATCAGATTGATAAAGCCCCTTCGTGGTCCTGCGGCGGTACCTAAACCCAGCAGTATTGTTAGTAATAGCTGCTGTTTACAGAGCGTTTACTTGGGACCTGGCTCTGTTCTAAACTCTTTTTCGCGTTTTAACTTATTTTATCCTTGTAGCAATCCTGTGGGGTGTAGGGGGCTAATATTGTCCCCATTTTAGTGACGCAGGAAGTGAGGCCCAGAGAGGTTGAGTAGGTTGCCCCGAGTCACACAGCTCCCACGTGGCAGCGCTGGCATCGAATGAACAGTCTGGCTGAAGCCTTAACCTCTGCACTGTGCAGCGTAGGAGCTGTATTTATGTGCTCAAAAAGCTATGTATATCCACCCATGCACAGTGAATGTCTGTGATACATACATGTATACAGTAAGTGCATGTTCATGACACACTTGAGTACTTCCTGCATGCCAAGCGCATTGCCAGCCAGGGACTGAGGGTAAAGGTCATTGTCTTCATTTCATAGAGGAAGAAACTGAGGTTCACAGAGGTTAGATGACCTCGAGAAGGTCCCCCCGCTGGGGAGCTGCAGAGACAGGAGTTGGCGGCGTTGGCTTCCCAGCCTGTCATTTTAGCCCCCGCCGCTCCGGTTTCTCCCTGATTAAAGAGCCAAGACAGAAGCCCGTGTCCCTGTGAAATTGCCACTCTGGAAAGAACAGTGCCTTACCGCAGGCTGTTTGGAGAGGCCACAGATGTCTTATGGTCTCCTGGAGACGACGTAGGGGAAAAACATCGCTAGAAGGGCAGACGTTGTATTTTTTTAGTTTCTCAATTCCTAACCTCCCTTCCTCCTGCCATTAGGGCAGAGGGCTGTGGCCTCCAACTTATAATCAAGGGAAGGTAGAGAACAGAGAGGGCGTGGTGTTCACCTGGGCTCACACAGCAGCAGTATCTGGTCTAGAGCAATAATGTCTTTCTAGTATGGTGGTCACAAGCCATGAGTGGCGATTTTAATTTCAATTAATTAAAATTAAATACAATTTAAAATGTAGTTATTTATTGGACTAGGTACATTTCAAGTGCTCAGTAGCCACCAGTGGCTAGTAGTGGCTGCTGCATTGGACAGCACAGACGCAGAACATTGGGATCACCGCAGAAAGGTCTATTGGACAGCGCTGGTCTAGAGGAGTAGGGCATACGGATTCAGAGCGTGGCCCGGAGCAGGCTGTCCGCATTAAAAGCCCAGCTCTGCCTCTCTTCGGCTGGGGATATTTGCACGACTATCTGGGCTTCAGTTTTCTCAGCTGTGAAATGCGTAGTACTAGAACTTAGAGTCACCGTGAAAATCAGACACACGTAAAACCCTAGCACAGTGCTCGGCGCATAGTAGGTGCTGTCTAAACAACAGCTGCCATCGTTATTATTATTATTATTATTGGAAGTTGGGAGTCCAGGCCTGCTTTGCCCACACGGCCACTCCCTGCAGTGCGCGACCCCACCCGGCCCCGGCCCTACCACGAGGCTTAACTCCGGCGTGCTTGCAGGTATTGCCGTGTTCGGCTACTCCATGGCGGTGTCCATCGGGGGGATCTTTGCCTCCCGCCGGCTGCACCTCAACCTGCTGCACAACGTCCTGCGGTCGCCCATGAGCTTCTTCGAGCGGACGCCCAGCGGGAACCTGGTGAACCGCTTCTCCAAGGAGCTGGACACGGTGGACTCGATGATCCCGCAGGTCATCAAGATGTTCATGGGCTCCCTGTTCAATGTCATCGGCGCCTGCATCATCATCCTGCTGGCCACGCCCATCGCCGCTGTCATCATCCCGCCCCTGGGCCTGCTCTACTTCTTCGTCCAGGTACGAGGTGGGCTCTTGGGGTCCAGGACGAGCCCCGCTGTGTCTCGCGCTCCCAAGTCACCTAGGGGGCCATTTCCTCTCACCGTTGCAACAGTGTGGAGCTGCTGAGGATTTGCCCGAGGAGGGTTTAGATTTGTTTCTGTCGGTTTTTGAATACCTAAATCAAATGTTTCTAGCTTGCAGTAGCCAAATGCACTTTTTTCCCTAAGAGGTCATATTTTTATAGCCATACATTAGCAAAGGAAACAAAACCTGTAATTATAAAGACATCTTCATTATTACATTTAGTTCCTAAGCCTCCTGCAGATAATGGAGATGCAAATAATAATAGCTTAAACAAGGTAAGTGTTTACTTATTTCTCTGTCTTAATAGAAATTTTGAAATAGTCCATTCAGGGCTGGTATGGCAGCTCCATGAGTTTGTTAGTATCCCAGATTCCTTTTATTTATTTTTTAATTTTTTAAAAACTTACCCACTTTGCACAAGCCTTCCATTCTTAAGTTGATCTCATGGTCCACAATAGCTGCTGGAGTTCCAGCCAACACATCTGTATTTCAAACAGTGAGACTGGAGAAGGGGAGCAAGGGAAGGCAGCATGTGATCACTGATTTAGCACTATCCATTTAAATATAATAGTAACCCCCTTATCCACGAGGGATATGTTCCAAGGCCCCCAGTGGATGCCTGAAACCACCGTTGGTACCGACCCCTATATACACTATGCTTTTCCCCCTATACATACATATCTGCAATAAGGTTTAATTTGTAAATTAGGCACAGTAAGAGATTAACAACAGTAATAATAAAGTAAAACTACCATAACAATACACCAGCATCACTGCACTCTTGCGCTTTGGGGTCACTGTCAGGTAAGGTAGGGTCACTTGAGCACAAGCGCCGCAGTGCTGCGACAGATGACCTGGTAAGGGAGACAGCTGACGTGACTAATGAGCGTGCGGCATCTATAGCGTGGGCACGCCAGACAGAGGGATGCTTCACGGCCTGGGCGGGACGGGGCAGGACAGTATGAGATTTCTTCTACTACTCGGAAGGGCCCATAGTTTAAAACTTATTGTTTGTTTCTGGAATTTTCCGCTTAGTGTTTTTGGACCTCAGTTGACCACATGTAACTGAAAAGGGGGAAAGGGAAACCCTGGCTAAGTCCGTCCGGTTGGCTAGAACTTAACTCATGTGACCACCTCTATTTGCAAGGGAGGCTGGGAAGTGTAGTCTTTTAGCTGGACACAGTGCAGTTCCCAGCAAAACGTTTCTGTTGGGAAGGAAAAAGGGGGTGCTGTGTAGGCCGTCAGTCACCGCCACGTCCGACCTGCAGAAGGTGCCACTGTATGTTCTTTGAACATGTGTGGTTTCTATTATTGCAGTGTGGCTTGTGTTTCCATTTGACAGATGAGTATGTTGAGGCTCAGGATACATCACTTTGTTTTAGTTTTAAAAGCAAGTCCCTTTAATAAGAAAGGTAGCGTAAGAGGGAAGACGGCGCGGAGTTCTGTTGGAGCTTCTGTGTTGCTGGGAGAAGGCATTCCTGCGCCGTGGACTTGCGTGACGTCCTCGAACACCGCCCGGCAGCGTGTGAGTGGCGCCCGTGGCCCGGCACAGGCAGGCTGATGTCCGCTGGCTGTGTGTGGTCGTGAGCCTCAGCCACTGCCTTGGTCCCTGAAAGAGGAATCCCAGCCCAGGAGGTAGCTTGTTCACATGCACTAGAGTTAAAAAGAGAAGTGAATAATTTTCTTAAATAATCAGATCGTTCCTGAACAAAAATTCATCTCAGGTTAGATTTTTCTAGTAACTAAGATCCTAAAGCAATGACAACTAGAGGAAGTCGAACGGGTAAAGCACTTTAGGATAACTTGCATCTAGAATGTTCAGAAAAAAGAGGGCCTGGGTGTGGTGGCTCACACCTGGAATCCCAGTATTCTGGGAGGCCGAGGCGGGAGGATCACTTGAGCTCAGGAGTTCCAGAACAGCCTGAGCAAAAGCGAGACCCTGTCTCTACTAAATATAGAAAAATTAGCCGGGCATGGTGGTGGCGCCTGTAGTCCCGGCTACTCGGGAGGCTGAGGCAGGAGGATCACTTGAGCCCGGGGGTTTGAGGTCGCTGTGAGCTAGGCTGATGCCATGGCACTCTAGCCCGGGCAACAGAGTGAGACTCTGTCTCACTAAAGAAAAAAAAAAGAGTCGGGGAGGAGATGAGGTCAAGGGTCAGGTGGGGATGATCACATGGGCCATTGGCCTGCCAGGCCAGGGTTCTGGGTTTCGTTCAAGGTTTTGGGGACTGCTGGGCGGGCGTGACAGCCAGTCCACAGTCCAGGGGTGAGCAGAGCAACGCTCTGAGACCGCCCAGCGTGGCGTGGCCGCTGGGTCAGCGTGCGGAGATTCTGGGCACCCTGAGGGCTGCTCACCTGTGGGTTTGATTGCCGCAGCCCGCACTGTCGACCAGAAAGAGGCTGCTGAGCGCAGAGACCTCGGAAAAGGTGACCGTTCCTTGTACCACTCTCTGCTGAAGGGCTCTGCCTCCAGATGGCCCGGTACACCTGGCGCAGGGCAGGAGGCAGGGAGGCCAGGCCCCTAACCACCCTCCGTTACTCTGTCCAGCTCTGCCACTGGCGAGCAGTTGCGGGTGTGTTGCCTTTGTCACGGGGAACCCCAGTCTCAGTGGGTCCGTTTGTCCAGATGAGGAAACTGAGGCCCAGAGAGCTCAGTGTTCTCCAATGGCCGATCTGGTCCATAGTTCCCCAAAGCTCCCAGCAGGTGCTTCAGGTTTTGTTCTGTCTGCAGCACGACTCGCCGGGCAACTCTCTGTGCCCGGGGCCGGCTGGATGCCCAGCGAGGCGGGCGCAGAGCGGACGAGGCGTCTGCCCGCGAGGGTGGTGTCACCATGACTGGGAAACACGGCAGTGAGCTGCAAGGCCAGGAGAGCTCCCCCAGGAAGCACCGTGTGCTGGGTGACAAGGAATGGCCTGGATGGGACAGAGTGGGTGTCGGAGGCAGGTGGCCTGCGGGGACAGGGCGTGTGCAGGACAAGGTCAGCGACGGGGCGTGGTCGGCCCCACTGAGAGCCTGGGAGGCCCTCGAAGGAGGGGTGACGGGATTGGCTTTGCGTGGGCACAGTCACGGCTCAGGGGATGTGATGAACAGGCAGAATTCTGTCACCTAAGGATAGATACCGGTGGTCACCACCTCCTTCAGCACTTCCTGTTAGGTGAAGCCATACGGTGTCACCGATACTCACCTGTTTCTTACCTGCATAAACAGCCGTCTCTTATGGTTCAACCTAGCGTTACCAGGCACTGGTTAGTGGCGTCCCATGCCTGTCTGATACATGAAACGTGTGTGCGTGTGAATACATGATATAGCTCACGTCACACTGTTATTCTTACATGTCATCCTCACGGTGACCCTGAGAAGCAAGCCTTGTTGTTCCCATTTCACAGAGGGGAATCTGAGGCCCTGGGCAATGACGCATTGGCCGTGTTTATATTGTTAATCGGCAGCAGAGGCAGGATTTGATCTCTGAACCTGTGCCTAAACCCGAGCCATCGGGGCCACGAAGCCCTGGAGGTTCCGGGCTCCGAGGAGGCCGTGCCGGTTAGGTGGAAGTTAGCACTCTGCAGCCGGACTGCTGGGGTTGCGGTGTCAGCTCTGCCACTTCCCACCATGCGACCCTGGGTGGGGGTGGCGTCAGCTGGCTTCTTAGTGTCTACCCTTCGCAGTAGGAAGGAGCGCCGCACGGGTTTTTTTGTGAGGATCAAATGAGCCGATTGTGTGAAGGCACTCGGAACCATGCGGGGGACGGTGTGCTGTACGCGGTGTGGGTCCTTATAGTCCCTGTCGTTGTCACTATGTGTGCAGCTCACGGGTGAGCAGGAACACCTGTCAGAGCAGCCCCGCGCCAGCATCTTGCCTCCTCGGGCACAAGTCACCTGGGGCCTTTGTCCTGCTCTGCCCAGGGAGGGTGGGACGAGGGCACCGTGGCCGACCCCGGCTGTCTGTTCTCCCCGTGCCACAGAGGTTCTACGTGGCGTCGTCCCGGCAGCTGAAGCGCCTGGAGTCGGTGCGCTGCTCGCCGGTGTACTCCCACTTCAACGAGACCCTGCTGGGCGTCAGCGTCATCCGCGCCTTCGGGGAGCAGGAGCGCTTCATCCGCCAGAGCGACCTGAAGGTGGACGAGAGCCAGAAGGCCTACTACCCCAGCATCGTGGCCAACAGGTGCGCGGCCCACCTCCCCGCGCCCTTCCTGGGTGCAAAGCCACACTCAGGCCTTCTCAGAGAGGGGGTCGGGGAGCCGGGGGAGGTGACATCAGACTGGCCGTCAAACACCCATAGGAGCACCGTGAGCACGCAGCTCCAGGGGCATTTCGGTGCAAGGACAGAATGCCCCTGCCCCCGGAGCCAGAAAACCTCGCGGGAGCCGCCCTTTAACTGTCGTCCTGGCAACGCCAGGTCTGCAGCGACAACTCTGCTACTGAGTGTCTCCGCACCGCGGTCCTTGGCTGGGGTGGCCGCGCGCCCCGTGTGAGGTGTGGCGCAGTGTACCAGTTGAGCCGAGGCGTCCGAGGTTGCCGTCCCGTGGATCACACTCGAGCGGCATCGAGCCACGGGGGGGCAGAAGTTTGCGAATTACTTGCTGGATCTGGCTTATCCCCAAGACAGCATCCTTCTCGCCCGTTTGCATCCTGATACGTGTTCTTAGCGCCCCGGAGGGGACCGCAACCACCCGCCCTTCTTACGCAGTGCGATCCCACAGCGCGTGGCTGGGTGGGCAGACCCCGACCTGCTGGAGGCCTTGACGTCCCTCGTTTTAGGAAGTTTGTCACCCGCGGGCTGTGTCTGTCTGAAGGTCTCGCCCGCGTGAGGATCAGTCACATATGTTATAAGGGCTGCCTGGGAAGACCGACCGCCATCTCCCTAGAACGCTCCGCTCACAGTTTAAAACTTGAAATAGTAGTCCCAGTGCCACACGATACTGTGAAGTTTCTGGAATTGGGAGGAGCAGGGTCTGGGAACATCACAGGGGTTGGCTTCTCTCTTCCCTCTCAGATCCCTCCCGGCCAAGTAAATTTACACCTGACCTCGGTCAGAAGTCTGAGAAGCGGGTCATGGTCACTTTAAATCAGTATTGCCTCTTAACGGCTGATGATGGCCTCTTAGTACTTAGGGAGTTTCGAGAACATTTAAAAAAGATGCATTTAGGTGTAGGTGTATAATTTTAAAGGCTTCAATGAGAGGAAGTTGGTTCTTAAAAAGGCAAGCTTCAGATTCCCGGGACGGTTGCCTCCGGAGAGCTCTGTTTCAGACCCCAGGCGTGCCGGGCGGGTGAAGACTTACCTTGTCCTGTCCCTTCGCCCCTCCTTCCTTGTTGCCCAGGCCACACGTTTCAGACAAGCCGGGCCCAGGAGGCCTCTCTCTGGGACTGCTGGGGGCTTGTCTCCAGTAGCAAGGGACCCCCCTCTCTCCCTGTGAGCTAGGAGCCGGGTCTCTGGAAGCTGACTCCGTGTGTGTGTGTCCCGTGCAGGTGGCTGGCCGTGCGGCTGGAGTACGTTGGCAACTGCATTGTCCTGTTCGCCTCCCTGTTCGCGGTGATGTCCCGGCACAGCCTGAGCGCCGGCTTGGTGGGCCTGTCGGTGTCTTACTCGTTGCAGGTAGGAGGGGCCCACGCGGCTGGAGTGTTACTCCCCCGTCTGCTACGGGAGCCAGCTGTCTGGCAGGTTCCTGTGCTTTGGACTCGCGCAGGAGGAGGGGAGAAGGAAGAGAGGGGGTTGTAGGGGCAGGTCCAGGGCCTGGTGACCCACCGGAGCAGGAAAGGAGTTGGACGTGCAGCCAGGATTTCTGCCATCAGTCAAGGAGACGCCTCGATGGCCCAGGCCGGTGCCTCCCACTACAAGGGAAACGCTTTCGAAACTGAATCTCCCTCTAAGCACTGCGTGAGCTGCATCTCACAAACTGTGACGCATGGTGCTTGCATCTTCTCGCCTAGTTCAACATATTTTCCAGTTTCCTTTCTGATTGATTACCTCGTGTGGCCAGTGGGTCGTTTGGAAAATGTGGTGCTTACCTAGGAGATGCAGTGTGGCCAGTCCTGGCTGTAGGTGGGGCTGCTGATTTCCGTCCCTTCTTATTTCAAATGTTTCGTGATTCACGCTGTTGGAAACTGCGGTGAGCTCGATCGCTCCGGGAGCTCCATGCGCTCTTTCCCTGCAGATCACCACGTACTTGAACTGGCTGGTTCGGATGTGGTCTGAGACGGAGGCCAACATCGTGGCCGTGGAGAGACTCAAGGAGTATTCAGAGACGGAGAAGGAGGTAAGGCGGGGCCCGGGCCTGTGCTCTTGGCCTTGGTCACCGCTGTGTCCCCACCCCAAAGAGACCTCTGAGCCAAATCTTGTGTATCCTCCACCTCTGAGCAGGAGCGTGAGTCGGATACCTGGCAGAGGTCCATCTCGGCTCCTGCCGTCAGTCTGTAGCGCCTGCTTAGAGCCTCCTCGTTTTAGGGTGAGAAAATAGTTTACAGTTACCCCGTCTTTCCCCAGCACATGGAGTGCCCCCACAGCAGTGGGGATGCTGGTGCCACCAAGCATTATCACTGTTGTTGTCATCGTCCCTACTACTGCTGTCACGGCGGGGACCAGGGCATAACGAGGGTGATACTGGGGGCACTAGGTTACGGGATGCGTCAGGGTGCTTGGACAAATTCCGTCACGTACTGAAGAAGTTTTTCCTCTTCTAATTCCTTCATATCTTTTGACGACATCTCAGAGGAAGACTTAGTTTGGTGCTAGTAGGTCTTTAGTAATTGAGATGATCTCCCTCGAACAGACACACCGCAGCCTTCAAGCTCAGGGGCTTCAACAGGCAACCTCTGTCTAACAAGAATAATCCATCATGTACGGGGGACTTCTGTTGCGGAAAATAACGCTAGTCTTCCATGTGTGATTGTAGTAAGTTTCCCTCTTAAGCTGGGAAGTGAAGTACCAGTGAGTTGATTCAAAGTGTTAAAAGTAAACAACAAGAGAATCAGGACATGGGTGTTTCGGAAATCATGATGTGGTAAGGAACTGACCAAAGCTTGGGAAACTTTGTAACCCAAGTCCCCATTTTATAGATAAAGAGAAAGGGAACCTGGGGAGGGATGATGGCCAACTTAGGTCCCCTGTGGCTCAGCGGGACAGTGGGGACTAGGGCCCAAGCCTCCAGACTCTGGTGCCTCAGTGCCCCCAGTAATGGCCTCGTTATGCCCCGGTCCCCACCGTGACAGCAATAGTAGGGATGATGACAACAACAGTGATAATACTTGGTGATGACAGGGACACACGTTGTGCCCTGGGTGTGTCTGGCCGTGTCCTAAACGTTTTCCGTAGAGTGATTCATTCATCTTTACCTTACGGTTTATTTAGGTGCTATTAATATCATCCCCATTTCACGGTGAGAAAACTTGAGACAGAGGTGAAAGGACTTGCCCGAGACCACAGGGCTGGTACACAGGGGACCTAGGATGTGTCTGCCACTGTGCCTGCGGTCTTCCAGGAAACTCCCCTGGGAGTGAGACCGTGGCCTCGGTGAGGCGGGAGGATCACTTGAGCTCAGGAATCCAAGACCAGCCTGAGTAAGAGCGAGGCCCCGTCTCTACGAGAAATGGAAAAATTAGCCGGGTATTGTGGTGCACACCTGTAGTCCCAGCTGCTTGGGAGGCTGAGGCAGGAGGATCCCTTGAGCCCAGTAGTTTGAGGTTGCCTTGAGCTATGATGACGCCACGGCACTCTAGCCCAGGCAGCAGAGCGAGTCCCTGTCTCAAAAATGAAAGAAAAAAAGATCTGTCCTGAGGGCTTTGCAGAAGTCACGGTCCTTCCCCGTCTGACTGGGTGAACCCGGTCACACGTCCTGGGCCAGCGTTGTTCGCAGTGGTGCGGGTGCCCCCCTGTGGATGCAGGAGCGCATTACACTGGGAGCTTCCCACCCCACGTGGAACGTACCTACAGGGTATTTGGCTAGTTTTATTGAGATATCCACATACCATACCCATCGAAGCATGTAGTTCAGTTGAATTCAGTTCTAAAAAGCATCTCACTTGCTTCTACTTGTTTTTATATGTTTAGATAAGAGCGTGTTAGATGAATGCAAGAGAAAGTTAAAGGTGAACTGTACTCCCACCACTGCTCAGTATATACGTGTGTGCTTGTTCACGTTTACTTAGGAAGTTCCGCCTGCTGCTCTCCAAGGCCCTCTCACTAGGTTCTTACAGCACGTCTCCTTCGATTACGTACGTAATTATAAAACGGAGATGTGCTTGTGAAAAGAAAACGAATGCGAGAAGTTTTGGGGTGAGGAAGAGTGAAAGTTCTCTTGTCCCGTCCCCTCAATTGTGGTGTTTTCTCCCGAAGGGGCCCCTGTTAGTGGGTTGGGGAGTTTCCTCCAGAACCTTCCTTGTGTGTGTTCACACACGCACATTCCCACATGTTCGTTTGCTTTTCTGTTTTCAACATGAGTGGGCTCTGCCTGTCAGCCTGCGAGGGGCCGTTTAGCCCGAGCACCTCTGCATCCACGTGTAGTAATAGTCTCCTCCCCGAGCGTCGCGCTGAGGCTCGGGTGAGGTCACCGGTCACAGGCGCTGAGCGCAGCACCCAGTGCGTTCTTAGCGCTCAGTGTAAAATGCTCCTCCTTTATAGAGAGCTTCTTCCGAGGAGCTGAAACTCTTGCCCAAACGGTGACCGACACTTTCTCGTTCCGTGTCCCCCTGCGCTGTGAGCCGTGTCCAAACGCCGTGCAGCCAGGCTCATGGTCTGCGTGTGCTCAGCCCCTGCAGGGACATGAGCTCCCGTCCGGCTGTGGCCACCGAGCTGGGCCCAGACCACCCCTGGTTTGGGGCCTCAGGAAATGCCAGACTGAACCAAGACGCCTTTCAGATTAGGGGCTGTGTGACCCGGGGCAGGTCACTCACCCTCTCTGTGTCTCCCCTCGTGGAATCTGGGGTTAGTGGAGGGACCCCGCTCGTGGGGTCGCAGTGAGGACTGAGTGCGATAATGTGCCGGGGTCACTGGCCCGGGGCCTGGCGCGTGGAAACCCCTCGGGTGTGGTTGTTGCTGCCACCGCTGGACGCCCCTTCCTTTTCGTGTCTGCCCAGAGGAGACCGCTCCTGTCGCTGGTTCAGTCCGTGACCGCTTCCTGAGCATCCGGTCTGTGCTCCGAGCCTGGGACGAGGCAGCGGGCGCAGGGGAGCTGTCCACGCCGCGTGGGTGGCCCAGGGGCTGCAGGGACAGAATCCACAAGCTGAAGTAGCCCAGGAGGGCCCTCCCAACTGATTGCCCGGACTCCTGCAGGATCTGGGGGGGGGCGGCTGAGGGGTGGCCTGGGGCCAGGCGTTCCAGGCAGAGCAGGCCACCATGTGAGCAGAGCGAGCGCCGTGAGGGCAGAGGGCTCTCGGAGGCCAGTTCAGGTTGGGCAGTGGCACATGGGATGGACTTGGGGTCCCTTACGCTCTTCTTCCCCCGCCCCCACCCCCGCTGTGATCGAAGGCTCCCTGGCAGATCCAGGAGACATCTCCGCCCAGCACCTGGCCCCAGGCGGGCCGGGTGGAGTTCCGGAACTACGGCCTGCGCTACCGGGAGGACCTGGACTTGGTTCTGAAGAACATCAACATCACCATCAACGGGGGAGAGAAGGTGGGTGCATGCCCTCCCCCCCTTCACAGTCGGGCAGGGGCGGCCACCGGGAGGCCAATCCAGCTGGTCACAGCTCCGCACCCCAGGGTTGAGTTACTTTTTGGGGGCAGCAGGCAGCTTATAGCAGTGACAGCTGTTTAGGGAGTGCCCGGCCGGGTCCCAGACTGGTGGCCTGAAACCCCACGGAGACCCACGGGCGTGTTTTGGAAGAAATCTGAGTAAGGTGCAAATGGTAATCTGGAACCTGTTAGGTAAAAATCCATGTCCTGCTTTTCTGGGAAGATCAAGACATCTGACCGCACCGGGCCCATCCTCCCCCCTGGCCCTTGCTGGACAAGAGCAGAGCCCCGGTCCCTCCTGGTCCCTGCCCCGTCCGTGTGAGGTGTGGCATGTCAGTTCGTGTCCAGAATAGGATGCCACCCCCACTGCTAGGGATGGCTCAAGGGAAGTGCGAACTTGTCAGAGTTTTGGAACCTTCCCTGGTGCCAGGCTGTTCCGGGAAGACGGCCTCACCTCGAGACCTTCCTCGGGAATCAGACCAAGGCCCTTCCTGGCCGGTTGCCAGGGACAGTGCTGCTTTCATCTCGCTGAACCTGCCCTGCCACGGGGCTCGGAATGTTCCGTTCCCAGGAGATAATTTCCTCTGACTCAACACGGGGAAGAGCAGGGTGGGCGACGTTCTCACTGAGTCTTTGCGGCTGGCCTTCCTTCCGCTGTGGGAATTTTCGCCCCCGCCGCCGCTCAGGGCCCCGATGAGAAACAGAGAATTCTGACTGGGGATCGGGAGTGTCAGTGCTTGGCCATTAATGGGAGCCTCGTTCCCTCGAGGGGAGACAAGTGGAGGCCATCCCCCAAGGGGTGCGCCTGCCTCTTTGAAGGTCTCTAGTGACTTACAGAGCTGATTAATTCCTTGGGGAGCCTGGCAAAGAGAGGGGTGTCACCCTTGACCTTTGGGGGAAGCTGGGGCAGGAGTCGGGTCGACCAGATGGCTGAGCTGTCCGGGGCAGGGGCACCCCCCCCCACTTGCCAGTGGTCCCACCTTACCCTGGGCCCCTCCCGTCCTGCAGGTTGGCATCGTGGGGCGGACGGGAGCCGGGAAGTCGTCCCTGACCCTGGGGTTGTTTCGGATCAATGAGTCCGCGGAAGGGGAGATCGTCATCGATGGCGTCAACATCGCCAAGATCGGCCTGCACAACCTCCGCGCCAAGATCACCATCATCCCCCAGGTGCGGCCTGGGGGTGGCCTCGGGCGTGAGCTGGGGCTGTAAGCCCCATACTGTGGTCCTGAAGCAGCGACATATGTATATTTGTCCCCACTTTATTATTTCCACCAAAGTGACGCCGTGTCTCTTCTCCCCTGAATCCCCTTACCCCGTAAACATCAGCGTGGGGTTCACTGGGTGTCCGTGTCGCACTCCTGCCGTGCAGAGGCAGTTTCCTGAGCGTCTGATGGCATCCGGGTGACACTGTCTTCTCCCCTGGTGTCCGTCAGAGTCAGACTGAGGATCTCTAACCCTTCTAAGAACTGGGCAGGGAATGAGAATTTTCTAGGGCAATCCCTGCAAGGTCTGTGGTCCCCAACCCCCGGACCGAGGACTGGTCGTGCTCCGTGGCCCGTTAGGAACTGGGCCACCCAGCAGGATGTGGGGAGCAGAGCCTCGTCCGCACTCACAGCCGCTCGCCATCGCTCATACCACCGCCTGAGCTCCGCCTCCTGTCAGATCAGCGGCGGCATTAGATCCTCGTGGGAGCAGGAACCCTGCTGTGAACTGTGCATGCGAGGGATCTGGGTTGCGGCTCCTTATGAGGCTCGGGTGCCTGATGATCTGGGGCGGAGCTGAGGTGGTGGCACTAGCGCCGGGGAGCGGCTGCAAACGCAGATGATCATCAGCAGAGAGGTCTGGCTGCACCGAGACCGTGATAACTCACTCGCTTGCAGGCTCCTCTCAAAGCCTTATCAGTGAGTGGCAAGTGAGCATCTTACTTAAATCATCCCAAAACCAACCCTCCCCTGCTCGCTCCGTGTCTGTGGGAAAATTGTCTTCCCTGAAGCTGGTCCCTGGTGCCACAGAGGTTGGGGACCGCTAGTACAGGTAGTGATTTTTTAATATGTTGCCTTTCAGTGTATTGTTCCTTAAAGTGTATTGTAGGAATCCCTTTTGGAGTTGGGGGACCGGGAGGGGATCCACAGGACTTTATGATTCAGAGCTACCCATGCCGTGTCTCCTCTCTGGAAGGTTCCCGACTTCTGTGTGTGTTGGATTCTCCGGGAGGTTCTGCAGAGAAGACGCCTGCTTCACTCTGCTTAACCCGGGCCTTTCCGAACCTTGTTTTCCTGTCATTAACGTCTCCAGAAACGGATTCTTCAGCACTCTGAGTCCCCTTCTTGAACAATTCTGTCCAGAACTTTCCGTGCAGCGTCTCCTTCCTCGGGCCACGCCCAGCGTGACGCAGGGTTCACGCGCCCTCTGCTGTCCTCTCTCTGCACAGGACCCCGTCCTGTTTTCGGGCTCCCTCCGCATGAACCTGGACCCGTTCAGCCAGTACTCGGACGAAGAAGTCTGGACGTCCCTGGAGCTGGCGCACCTGAAGGGCTTCGTGTCCTCCCTCCCCGACAAGCTGGACCACGAGTGTGCGGAGGGCGGGGAGAACCTCAGGTAGGCGGGGGGCTGGGCAGGGTGACCCCAGGCAAGGCCTTCTAGGCGCCACCACAGTTGGGGCATCTGAAGATTGTCCTCTTGCATCTTTGTCAGACCTGGATTTGAGCCTCAGTTTCTGTGTCTGTAAAGTGGGTTTTAATCCGGCCTCTTCTGACCACGAGGTGTATGCAGTAAGCAGGACGGCCACTACATCTCCTTTCTTATCCCTGCTGCGTTAACTTGAGAGTGGCTGGCAGCTGTGAAATCGCAGAAGGGCGTCCCTGCCAGCTGCGGACACCACTGCTCGGAGCCCTCCGAGCCCCACACACCCCGCTCATCTCCCCGATCCTGTGATCTGCCCGTGATCCAGCTCCTAAGGCATTAATGCCCGGTGCAGCGGGGAACCTCTGGGGTTCTCAATTAGTACCCGGCTTGGTCACCCCTCTGTGACAGCCAGCTGCAAATCTTCGGTCCCGTCCAGCAGCATGGCAGTGACCATCGGCCACGCGAGAGGGCAGCCAGCCAGGTGGCTCCGCTGGGCTTGGCTGGGCTGACGCACGGGTCTGGGGGGCAGCGGGCTGTTGGATGACCTACTTGGCCTCGGCTGGGGCAGTGAGAGTGTGTCCCTGATCCCCGGCAGACCAGCACAGCCGCGTTGCTATGGCGACGGCAGAGGCGCGGGACTGAGCGAGTCCTGGTGTGTGTTCCCATGGCGAGCCTCTGTGAGCCTCAGGTTTGCCAGCGTCCTGGCCACCAAAGCGGGACGCGTGGCTGCGTCCAGAGTCAGCTGTCGCGCCGCTAAGGCTGGAGAGGAACGCGTGGACGTGGCGCCGTTCTTGCTAGCCGCCACGTCACCCACGCTGACCTGGGCAAATACCATGAGTATTTGATACCATGAGCCGAGGCTCACTCTGAGCCCGCTTCTCGGTGACAGGAGCCGGGTTCCGACTGAGTGGCGGCATCTGCCGCAGCGTGCACGTGGGGAGTGGCCGCACTCCTGGTCCGAGCCGTGCGGGGTGTCTCTTCCTTCTGCCAGCCCGGCCCTGCTGCAGGGTCGGGGCGGTTTGACGCCATCTCCTGCTCTCTTCCTCCCGTCCAGCATCGGGCAGCGCCAGCTCGTGTGCCTGGCCCGGGCCCTGCTGAGGAAGACGAAGATCCTCGTGCTGGACGAGGCCACGGCGGCCGTGGACCTGGAGACGGACGACCTCATCCAGTCCACCATCCGGACGCAGTTCGAGGACTGCACCGTGCTCACCATCGCGCACCGCCTGAACACCATCATGGACTACACGAGGTGCCGCCCCGCCCGGGGCCCGGGCGTGGGGGTTCAGCTCAGTCACTGACCCGCTCGCTCCTTCCCTCTGCACCACCCTTAGGCCTAGTGACAGCCCCAGTGGGTGGGTGGGTCCCGTGTCTATCCCAGGTGACACCAGGGGTCTGGGGCATCAGCCAGTCATTCATGCGGCCAGCCTAGCTGTGTGGCACCCCTGGAACTGTTCCCGGCACTGGGGACTTTGCAGGAGGCTGTCAGACAGGGGACCTGCCTTAGGGACACACCAGCCTAGGTGGGAGTGACAGACGGTGAACCAAGCAACAAATCGGCCTGGTTCCACGGGGCCATGAGCATGAGGAAGGGGTGGCGAGGACAGGCAGGGCCAGGGTGTCCCCTGGCACTGGAGGCACAGTGCCTGGGCCCCATGGAAATGTTTTTCTTTTAAAAATCAGAAGACAAGAAATAAACCTAATCTGGACTAGATGATATTTGTTTTTACAGGAACACAGGGATGAAATAGTGACTTGTGTTGGCATTTTTATCTTGCACGGAGAAAGCAGCCCACAAAAGTCATCGTGTGGCGCAGGTGGTTAGGTTAGGGCTCTCTGAGGTGACATTTGAGCCATGTCAGCTACAGGAAGGTCCAGGACAGAGACCAGCACCTTTTTCTGTAAAGCGTCAGACTGGTTTCTGCTTCGTGGGCCATCTGGTCTCTGCCACGGCTGCACAGCTCTGATGTAGTATGAAAGCAGCCGTAGGCAGGACACATTAGACCACAGCCACGCTTACTCGTTTAAAACTTTATTCATAAAGACAAGCAGCAGGCCAGATTTGGCCTCTGTGGGGCCACAGTCTGCCCACCTTTGATCTAAAGGAAGAAAATTCTAGGCGGAGGGCATAGCCCAGGGTAAAGGCCCTGAAATGGGAACAAGTTGACTGAATTCAGAGGCGGACGAGGTCAGTGTGCCTGGAGGTTGGAATGGAGGGGACAGGGTAGACTAGATTTTAGAGCACCCAGTAACCACAGTGAGAAGTTTGGCACTTGTTCTGAGAGCACTATAAAGCCATGGGAAGGTTTTAAGCAAAAGAGTAACATGATGTTTTTAAAAGATCACCGAGCACCTGCTATGTGACAGATGCTGTGTTGGCACTATCGAGTGCCGGGGGGACATAGGTCAGAAATGAGGCCAGATGGGGTAGTTAGCATACTATGGCCCCTGCCCATTTTTATGATAAAGCTTTATCAGCACACAGCTATGCCTATTCATTTTTCTGTTGTCTCCAGCCATGTTCATAATATAAAGACAGCAGTAATGAGGGGTTGTAACAGAAACCACAGGGCCCAAAATATTTACAATCTGGCCCTTTTCAGAAAAAGGTCGCTGGTCCCTGTTGTAGACTATGGTAAGATATTTTTCTTCTGTTCTGAGTGTAAGGGAACAATGCATGTGAATAATTGACACCCTTATTACTATTTGCACTATCATTGATGATTGGTGGTAGAGATTAAGGACATGCCCTCATAGGAATTTGACATCAACCAGGGATTGAGGCCGGGCAGCCGGCTGGAAGACTACTGCACCAGTCCAGGTGGAAGATGTTAGGGGCTCGACCCAAAGCAATGGCTTGCCTGGGTGGGCTCCCAGGGCCTCAAGGTACCAACGCCTTTCCTACCCTCACGTGTGAACCTCTCCTGCAGGGTGATCGTCCTGGACAAAGGAGAAATCCGGGAGTGCGGCGCCCCCTCTGACCTCCTCCAGCAGAGAGGACTCTTCTACGACATGGCCAAAGATGCCGGCTTGGCGTGAGCCCTAGAGCCGGCACGTCTGGTCGGAACGGCAGGGCCAGTGTGCCAGCGTTCAGGGCATCAGCATCCTTGGGAAGCCAAGCCTCCTATGCTGAAACCAAAAAATACCCAAAAAGCAAAAACTCACCCAAAGCAGTCGCAGCCACCCTCCAGCCCCCTTCCTGGAACCGGCCGTGAAGACACAGGATAGAGACGGAGATGCAGCCCACCCCACACACGTACCCCCTTGCCTGGTGCCCCTTCGAGACGCACACGCGTGTTCTCACGCCCCAGGAGTGCAGGCTGGCGCCCCTGCTCCTTCCCACACGGGAGGTTTTGGCGGCCACACTTGCAGAGGAACCAGCTGCATAGAATGTGCTAGTGACCAAATCCAGCCAACTGCCTCAGGCTCTCCAGCCACAGTCTGCGGATTCCGAGTCTTCGAGAGGCTCCTGGCCCTCCAGCTCTCCAACATCCGTGTCTGTTCCGCCCAGAAAGCTTCATTTCCTCCGGGCTGCCTGGTGAAGGCCATTCTCTCCCGAGGGCCTGGATGGTCCTCCTGCCAACATCTGGTCTCCCGGGCTCTCAGGCGCTGGGAACCGACCTCCCAGAATTGCCTCCGCCGGGGCTCACTTCAGAGGCCAGAGGCGCCTTGTGCACCCACACGGCTGTCTTCATCGAAGGGACTTGGCTGGACTAGCGGACGCCGGGCCAGGGGCTCACCTGTCCTGCACTCCAGTCTTCCCCTCCCCCCCTCCAGGTACCTGAGAGAGAGGAAGGTCCGCCAGTGGTCAGGACGCACCCGGAGCAAAGAGCACGACGTCCCTCCCACGTATTCCTAGTGGGTGCCAAAAAGAGTCCCTTTGAGTCTTCTCGGTTTTAGATTTTAATTTCTCACCACTGGCATCCGGTTAGCTGCCAAGGGGAGGCGTGGCAGAGAACTCGACGTTTAGTTATTGATTCTCTTCTAACGACAAGAAGGAGAGAACCCATCCTCGAGTATCAGTGATTTATTTTTTTAAGTACTGCTCCTGGGAGACACACACTCTCGCACCTTTACTTTCTTGGCAGGAAGGATGAGGCCAGGGAGCGGCATCCCCAGGGAATAGCTAAAAGCCGGGCCTGCGTGTGGCACTTGGTCCCCGTGTTCCGGAAGAGAACGGAGAAGCAGAGTCCCTCAAAGCCTGTGCTCAGGTGTCCAGGTGCGAGAACAGAGTGAGACCAGGCAGCAGCGAGGGCTGGGCGGCCCCGAGTCACCCTCGCTCCGAGTCACTGTGCTGACTTCCAGCCCAGAGCACATCTTTCTTTTAGGCAGAAATATTTATTTTTTGTAAATTATATCATTCTTTCACATTAGATAAACCAAGTTTTTCTTGGGGCGGGGGGGTCTTTTTGTAATGACTTACACTGGAAATGTGAACATTTGCAGTAAAAAAAAAATATATTTTATTTCTTTCTAAATGACTGTTCCATTTTCTCTGGGGCAGAGGTTCCAGCCCTGTCCTCTGGTAGAGTCAAGAGGTGGCACACTCCTGTCTTCTCTTGTTTCCGTTTGCCAAATGTGCCGCCTCCAGCGGGGGCTGTTGTCAGAAATGGCGCGTCTAGAGGCCGGGGATGGGGTGGGGTTTGGCGAGGAGATGGCACAACGGCAGGGTGGGCGCAGCCAGGCCTTCAGGGTCCGATAGACCCGGGCTCCAGTCATGCTTTTGTCATTTGCTGATCGTATGACCCTCGTCACTTAGCCTCTGAGCCTGGGTTGCTCCGTCTGTAAGAGGCGGCTGATCCTTCCTACCTCGTGGGGTTATTGCAAACTTGAGCAGCGGTGGGTGGGGGCCATGGGGCCGAGGTCAGGTTCTGGGTGGGACCTGAGTCGCAGATCCCTTTGTATCAGGATAGGTAAGGCCCTGCTGCACTAGCAAAGTAGCCGTACGATCGTGGGAGACGCAGGGTTTGTTTCTTGCTCCTGCAGTTCTGGGTGAGGCTGCCTTCCATGCGGCCGCTGATCCAGACCGTCCTGAGCTTTTGGCGTAGGGAGGGAGAGTGGGCGGCGCACGCTCACGCTCAGCGGGTCAGACCGGAAGTGAGGCAGGGCGGTTCCACTCCTAGAGGAATCATGTGGCCCCGGCCAAGCCACAAGCCACAGGGCCGGGCGTGCGGGGCCCTGCGGAAGAGGAGTCTTTGTCCCAACTGACTTGCTTTCCAAGCTTTGGACGGTGGGGTGGCGAGACTCGGGTGTTGGGTTTCTGACGTTGAATCAGGCCCATGTGGGTGGCGAGGATGCCTGCACGTGGCAGCCGCCGTTTCAGCCGTGCACAGAAACCACGCCCCGCGTCCACGTGCGGGTGGAACGTGTCAGCACTGCCCAGTTTCCCACGGTGCTACTGTCCCGGATTGACGTCATCGACTTACGTTAGGGACCACAGTGCACGAAGATGCTCAGCAAGAAGCCATGAGGCCATGCGCGGTAGCGTTAGTCGTGCTTGGATCTGCGGGTGGGGGCGTCTCGATCTCACACGTAAGATGTGTGTGTCTCAGCCTGAGCCTGAGCATTCAGTCCCAGCTCAGATCCTAAGCGAGTTCCTGGGTGGGGCAGTGGGGTGCTCCTGCCTGCAGCTCCCCCCACCCACAGTCTGCTCTCAGCCCAGCCGCTGCAGTGACCCCGTGAAAATAGCCCCCCCATCACGTCCCCCGGCTCCCTGTCTTCTCTGTCCCCAGCACCTGCCTCCGGCTGCCACGTGGGCCTCCATGCTCTTCTTCAGGGCCTCCCTCTTCCCTGCTTGCTCCAGGATGGCAGCTCCACGAGCTGAATCCCCGTCCCGAGCGTGGGCACGTGGCACGCAGCGGCGACTGGCTGCTCTGCTGGGGTCGGGCCCTGCGCTGAGTTGGAGTCACTGCGGCCTCTCGGTGGGAACGTGCCCTTCCAGAGCAGCGGCTTCCCTGTCAGTGTGGCCGGGGCCACTGCGTCCTCCTGCTGGGTGGCCGTGAGGATGAAAGCAGGTCAGGAAAGGCACCCGGCACCGTGCCCAGCCCTGAAGACACCTTCACACACGGCAGTCACTCATCTGTCCCCCACCTGTCCACACGGACTGAGCCTGTGCACCATGCCAGGTGCGGGGGAGACGCAGTGGACAGACACACGAGGGTCCCTCGGCTCAGGGAGGACAGGAAGCCCCTTCCCGCCTCTGTCCTCGCGGCGGGATCCGGAGGGGAATTCCGTTCCTGTTGGGGGCCGATGTCCTGCAGCTCAGGAAGGGGCCACACGGCCCGGCAGTTAGGTCGTGGGCTCTGAAGCTGGATAGCCATGGGCAGAGACACCTTGTACCCTGCCTCGGTTTCCTTATCTGTCCAAGGGGCCCAATGGTCTAATCCATAGGCCATCTGTGAACATGGCGTGATGGCAGCACCGTCCTCACCAGAGGAGCCCAGTGGCTGGTGCTTCCTCCCCTGGGGTTCGGCCAGCTGGAGGACCTGCGCCAGCGTTTAGAGCGGCGTCTGGCGCGGTTGTGTGTTGCAGTGACAGGCGGGCGTGGTGGATGAAGGGCCCGTGGGCGGTGCTGGCCCAGAAAGGTGTGTGTGTGGCCTTGCCGGGTCTCACCTGTGTTCCCCCCCGCCTGCTGGCCAGAGCCCATGGCGGGGGGATTAGGGCCCGGGTGACCCTGCTGGCTGGTGTCCAGGCCACCATGGTGTGGGCCTAACAGCAGCCCCGTTAGCAGGACTCACAGGCACCGGCTCCCACGTGCTGGCCACTCCGTGAGACCTCGAGCTCATCCCGGGCAGGGCAGTGGCTCTCGGTCCTCCCCGAGCGCTGGAGTGAGACGGGAGAGCCGATCTGCCGGTGCTCAGGGTGGGAGGGAGGTGGGTGTGGCTACAAACCGGCCACACGAGGGATCTTTGTGGGCATGGGGCCATCGCCTACCCTCACCGTGGGGGTAGATGCCGGGCACGTGATAAAACTGTGCGCAGTTAAATACAAACGAGCGCGAGTGGGAAATCTGAACCGACCGGTATATTGTGTCAGTGTCCACACCCCCTCGCTGTGACGTTGAGCAGTTTTGCAGAAGGCCACCTTTGGAAGAAATGGGCTAAAGGGCACCTCTCCCTGTAAACCTGGGATCATCCCCAAATAAAAGGGCTAAATTGTAAAAAGTGCACATACCATCGCTGCCCGAAGCCCTAGGCACTCTGATAGAATGGTGGGTGGGGGAGCCTGGCACAGGCATGTCCTGTGTCCCCAGGTGAGGCCAGGGACAGCCAGGGCCGAGGGCCGCTGTGACGCTGGCTTCAGGTGGACAGGGCCGGGGGGCCCTGTGTCTTCCAAGGTCCAATACTCTGTGACAAGCAGCCGCTTTCTCTGCCATTTTCTTTGCCAAGAGCGGAGGGGTGTAGACTCAGCATCAAGTGGAGCCACCGATGACGCCCGTGTCACTTGCCTCGCCGGGGCACTGCAGGCTGGCACAGCAGAGGGGCCTGGCGGAGGAGCCTGGCTCAGACTAGGCCTGACTCCTGGGCCAGCCTGTAGAACAGGCCCTTCTGGGCCAGCAGCTGGGCCGGGCTGCCGCTCTCGGCCACCTGCCCCTCGTCCATGACCAGCACCCTGCAGGAGAGAGGAGATGGGTGTCTCTTTGGCCCCAGCCCAGGCACGTGGCAGCTCCGAGACCCCAGCGTATCTGGGCTGAGGTTTGCTCCCCGCAAGTCCTGCATCTGCTGGGCAGGGGTCCCCTCCAGGGCCAGTCCCACGGCGGGGCCTCACCGGGCGCAGTCCATCACCGAGCGCAGGCGGTGGGCGATGAGCAGCACGGTGCAGCCCGCAAACCAGCGCTCCAGGGAGGCCCGCATCTGCCGCTCCGTGCCTGGGTCCACGGCGGCCGTGGCCTCGTCCAGGACGAGGATCTGGGTTTGCCGGAGGAGGGCGCGTGCCAGACACAGCAGCTGCTTCTGCCCCACGCTGGGAACGAGCGGAACGATTAAGGCCGGGCATTTCTTTGCCCAAACTTCACGACCTACGGGGCACGCACACACGTGGGTCTGTGACAGCGCAGAAACGGGGCGTCGGGGCGTCTGTGTGTCCCCACGGTGGGGTCTGTGGTCTACACAGCGGGTGGGGATCCCTGTCCTGCTGTCTGTGAGCAGGCTGACGTTAGGCAAACCATTCAGACTCTTTGTGCCTCAGTTTCCCTGCCTGTGACAGGGCTACTTTCTATTCATGGCTAGTTCCATTCTGTGGGCTTCACC